TGTTCAAATTCTTTATCATCAAGAGCAAAAACTGAGAAGAGAAAAGAAGGGAAAAGATGCAATGATTACAGAATGCATAAAGATCAAACAAAAATGGGCACTCAGATCCCTCCGGGATCTTGTTTTGTAATTGCAGGTACAGGAAGAATCCTAGAGGGTTTTTGACATATGCTTAGCACTGCCAAAGGAAGAGGTATTGGTGGTACATGTATCTGAAAGAGTTTTTGCATTAAGTCCGACACTACCTGAATGTACAAAGTTATTTTTGAAGAATTTCGTTCGAGTTTGTAAGTTTCAGCGTCATTTTCCTTATTAAAGGAAAGTGTCCAAAATGAGAACAATTTTGTAGTGAAAGATATTTATTGCAAATCTGCTTGATGTAACTCAGTCTGTTTCTAAAATCAGATGCATAGACAGACACTCAATTTACTTATTGTTTAAATACACAGAAATTAAAACCTACAACCATCATAGCTCCACTAGGTGTTATCAAAATATAGGTTCAACTGATGTGATGGGTTACACCACCAACAACAAAAAAGCTATATAACGCCCCAATGAATTATTGTTGTAAATCAATATCGTAAAACACAAATTTAAACATGTAATTTACGTATATTGATTTCTTATTTTCCCAAACCAGCTCATCCCTAACCTGGAAAAATTAATTGACAATTTTACTGAGTGGTGATAAAAGCACTAATATCATTGTCACCCAATGAAAAGATAACAAAATGCGTTCAAGTCTCTCACACATTTTTATTTTCAATTGAATGCTGACAGTTTCAGCAAATAGATTAAAAAATAGTTCATACAAAATGTAATTACATTAAAAATGACACAACATGCTGATACAAAATAGCATAATAAAAATGATAAACAACACTTAACAAATATAGAACATGCTATCCTTATCTAAACATACTAGAACTGCTTTAGACCTTCAGGAAACTGGAGCCAATATCAACCACACAACAAATTCTGTCATGTTTGATTTCAATGGTTTTACACAGCACTTTAGTATTGAGTAACCTTGCAGTCAGATTCCCACTTAATCAATGGTACATAGTAGCTCGTAGAACAATAAGTCTTGTGATGAAACAAATTACTACATATTATTGTCCAAGTTCTGCTTCACAAACAGCTGTGGAGGATACAAGACAATAACTAAAGAGAAGCTAATGATACAGGTTAAAATTTTACTGCATTTACTTTCAGTGTTTGTATAAGACTGGTTCACATGAAATCCTAGGTTTCCTGTGATTCTACTTTAAAAGCTTACATTATGTATCAAGGAAGAGGAACTGAGCAGTAATATAGCTTACATGGCAGAGAAATATGAACAACAAAACTTTGGGTGGTGCAGTGGTAACACACTCACCTTTCATCTAAACATCTGGAGTTTAATTCCCTGAATGAATATGAAAAGGTATCAAGTCACCTACATGACCACATAGATTTTTCTTCCAACTGTAAGCTCCCACTTGTGCTTCAATCCAGACTAAACAAAGTGATTACTGTAAGCTTAGAGATTGTTATTCAGTTATTGTAAACTAAAGTTTAGATTTATGTTTACAAACTTCTGTATCACAAAGCAAAGTTAGGGGTCCATAGCTCTGTATACAGCTTAATACCTAACTACAAAGAAAGACTAAGGGACATAACTCTGTATAGAGCTTAACACCAAATCTTCAATTTCAGACATACCCTGTATCAGAAAGCATAACCAATGGTCATAACTCTATATACAGATGAACACCAAACTAAAAAGCAAGACTAAGGGCCATAGCCCTGCACAGAGCTTGACACCAAAGCAAGACTAAGGGACACAACTCTGTATAGAGCTTAACACCAAACCTTCAATTTCAGACATACCCTGTATCAGAAAGCGTAACCAATGGTCATAACTCTGTATACAGCTGAACACCAAACTAAAAAGCAAGACTAAGGGTCATAACCCTGTATAGAGCTTGACATCAAAGCAAGACTAAGGGCCATAACTCTGTATAGAGCTTGACACCAAAGCAAGACTAAGGGACATAACTCTGTATACAGCTGAACACCAAACTAAAAAGCAAGATAAAAGACCATAACTCTGTAAAGAGCTTGCCACCAAAGCAAGACTAAGGGATATAACTCTGTATAGATCTTGACACCAAACTTTCAATTCCAAACTATTAAAGACAACAAATAGGGGTTAAACTCTATGCATTGCTGTGCAAAAAAACAATCATCTTGAGACAAACTTTGATATAAAAAAACTGAGTTATAGTCCATAGCACTGTATAGCTTTTGGCTTGGAACATGATCACATTATGTTTCATACCTGTCACAGAATGTATATGGTGAGACTCAAAAGATACTCTTGGTGTGTGATGCTACCAATCATAAGGAAAAAATGTTGATGGTGAAAGAATAGCTGGGAAAATGCCTTTAGAAAGAAAGTGACAAACTGACAAATAGTTGAAGGACAACCTCTCATCGTGTTTAGTGGTACTTGTCAGGGAACATTTACTCTCATTGAGTGGTCCTTGTCAGGGAAAAACTAGTCTCATTTAGTGGTACTTGTTCGGAAACATCTAGTTCTGTATAGTAGTACTTGTTGGGGAACATCTAATTCTGTATAGTGGTACTTGTTGGGGAGCATGAAGTTCTGTTTGTGGTACTTGTTGGGGAGTAAATGTTCTGTTTAGTGGTACTTGTCGGGGAACATCTAGTTCTGTATAGTGGTACTTGTTGGGGAGTAAATGTTCTGTTAGTGGTATTTGTCGGGGAACATCTAGTTCTGTATAGTGGTACTTGTTGGGGAACATCTAGTTCTGTTAGTGGTACTTGTTGGGGAACATCTAGTTCTGTATAGTGGTACTTGTTGGGGAGTAAATGTTCTGTTTAGTGGTACTTGTCGGGGAACATCTAGTTCTGTTAGTGGTACTTGTCGGGGAACATCTAGTTCTGTTAGTGGTACTTGTTGGGGAGTAAATGTTCTGTTTAGTGGTACTTGTAGGGGAACATCTAGTTCTGTTAGTGGTACTTGTTGGGGAGCTTAAAGTTCTGTTAGTGGTACTTGTTGGGGAACATCTAGTTCTGTTAGTGGTACTTGTTGGGGAGTAAATGTTCTGTTTAGTGGTACTTGTTTGGGAACATCTAGATCTGTTTGTGGTACTTTCGGGGAACATCTAGATCTGTTAGTGGTACTTGTTGGGGAGCATAAAGTTCTGTTAGTGGTACTTGTTGGGGAGCATAAAGTTCTGTTAGTGGTACTTGTTGGGGAGCATAAAGTTCTATTAGTGGTACTTGTCTTGGAACATCTAGATCTGTTAGTGGTACTTGTCTGGGAACATCTAGATCTGTTAGTGGTACTTGTCTGAGAACATCTAGATCTGTTAGTGGTACTTGTTGGGGAAGTAAAGTTCTGTTTGTGGGACTTGTCTGGGAACATCTAGTTCTGTTAGTGGTACTTGATGGGGAGCATAAAGTTCTGTTAGTGGTACTTGCCTGGGAACATCTAGATCTGTTAGTGGTACTTGTTGGGGAGCATAAAGTTCTGTTAGTGGTACTTGTTGGGGAGCATAAAGTTCTATTAGTGGTACTTGTCTTGGAACATCTAGATCTGTTAGTGGTACTTGTCTGGGAACATCTAGATCTGTTAGTGGTACTTGTCTGGGAACATCTAGATCTGTTAGTGGTACTTGTCTGGGAACATCTAGATCTGTTTGTGGGACTTGTCTGGGAACATCTAGTTCTGTTAGTGGTACTTGATGGGGAGCATAAAGTTCTGTTAGTGGTACTTGTCTGGGAACATCTAGATCTGTTAGTGGTACTTGTCTGGGAACATCTAGATCTGTTAGTGGTACTTGTCTGGGAACATCTAGATCTGTTTGTGGGACTTGTCTGGGAACATCTAGTTCTGTTAGTGGTACTTGATGGGGAGCATAAAGTTCTGTTAGTGGTACTTGTCTGGGAACATCTAGATCTGTTAGTGGTACTTGTCTGGGAACATCTAGATCTGTTTGTGGTACTTGCCTGGGAACATCTAGATCTGTTAGTGGTACTTGTTGGGGAGCATCTAGATCTGTTAGTGGTACTAGTCTGGGAACATCTAGATCTGTTAGTGGTACTTGTTGGGGAGTAAATGTTCTGTTTAGTGGTACTTGTTGGGGAACATCTAGATCTGTATAGTGGTACTTGTTGGGGAGTAAATGTTCTGTTTAGTGGTACTTGTCTGGGAACATCTAGATCTGTTAGTGGTACTTGTTGGGGAACATGAAGTTCTGTTAGTGGTACTTGTCTGGGAACATCTAGATCTGTTAGTGGTACTTGTTGGGGAACATCTAGATCTGTTAGTGGTACTTGTTGGGGAACATCTAGATCTGTTAGTGGTACTTGTCTGGGAACATCTAGATCTGTTTGTGGTACTTGTTGGGGAACATCTAGATCTGTTAGTGGTACTTGTTGGGGAACATCTAGATCTGTTAGTGGTACTTGTCTGGGAACATCTAGATCTGTTAGTGGTACTTGTTGGGGAACATCTAGTTCTGTATAGTGGTACTTGTTGGGGAGTAAATGTTCTGTTTAGTGGTACTTGTCTGGGAACATCTAGATCTGTTAGTGGTACTTGTTGGGGAAAATCTAGATCTGTTAGTGGTACTTGTTGGGGAACATCTAGATCTGTTAGTGGTACTTGTTGGGGAACATCTAGATCTGTTAGTGGTACTTGTCTGGGAACATCTAGATCTGTTTGTGGTACTTGTTGGGGAACATCTAGATCTGTTAGTGGTACTTGTTGGGGAACATCTAGATCTGTTAGTGGTACTTGTCTGGGAACATCTAGATCTGTTAGTGGTACTTGTTGGGGAATATCTAGATCTGTTTGTGGTACTTGCAGGAGACTACAAAGGTAATGTTGACAACTTCCTCTAAGGTCTATGTTGATTGTTTTCAGTATATATCTAATGGATTAGATGATTAACAACAAACACAGTTTACAAAATTTTCACTGCTTATCCATAAAATTCAAATCTTAGGTTTAATTCTTTTTGAGAAAATATCCCTGAAACATCAGAAACTGTCAGTACTCAATCAAAGTTCATTACTTTTACAACATCAAATAATTCATGCTAAATATCACTTTTTCTTCAAATAATGCTTTACACCTCATTGCTAAACAATTACTCCATGATCACAAATACAATGTACATTGTTAAGATTCATTTTGTTCTGTATCACATATAAGTTGTTTCATTAGAACTTGAGTGAAGATTAATTTTCAGAAACGATTGATTCATGTTACAATAAATATCTCTGTAATCACATATACATATTTCAGTTTCCAGTATTCATGCCACAGTGAATTGATAGCACAAAACTTTCTTAATAAGATAAAAGGATTTATGAATCTTTAAACTTGACCTATCACACATATGTCCCTGTAAACAGGTCCATTAAGACACAAGTTGTTGTAATACAGTGAATTATTCCATTACCCATAGAGTTTTCTGTTAAATAAGTTTATATCTGTGAATTATAATGTGTCATTCAAGGCTGACACACCTGAACATTTTTATCTTCTTAACCCACAATATCTCATTCATGTTTAACAAAATTTAAAGAGTTTATATCTCTATGAATCCCAATCTCTCTTTATGACTGACACAGCTGAATGTTCCACATTTTTATCTTGATGCTCGACACAAGCTATGGGGTTCATATCTCTATAAATCACATTCATGACTGACACTGCTACACTTACCACATTCATATTTCTATGAACAACAACATCTCATTCATGTTTGACACATGTTTTATGGTTCTCTATCAATCACAATATCTAATACATGTTTGACATAAATTACAAGGTTCCCATCTGCATGAATCACAGTTATCACAGATTGAAGAAGTATCTAACGGGTGGCCCAGGAATATCCTCCTCACTGTCTCCCTGCAGTGACACCACCAGATCCACATATCGTACACGAGAAGATGGCTTCAGGAGTTTCACCATCCTGTTAATAATATCAGAATCTTAAGTAATGCTAAATCAAACTTTTTCAAATTAATCCTCAGTCAAATCAATCAAATTCCCAAACAAAATTACCTCTATTATATCATTTTCACATAACTTAAAAATCCTGCATAAGTATTCAAAATCATAATGAAAATTTAGTCAGTCCTTACCATACAGGGAGGCTTGTTACCTTTAATCGAACTCTGACAAACTGGGACAATGTTCCTTCTACATAAACTTTAAATACATTAGAGAACCACAATATCCACCAAAATTTTGACTTACGTTTGAGGTAGTCTTTTGGAATGACCAGGCATGAATGGCACATACACCATCTTAACTCCATGGCCAACCATTGTTGCTTCAAAACCAAACTTGGTCTGCAAAAAAACCCAATTTTTTTATCAACAAAATTTTGATGCTTACAAAACACAAATATCCACTCTAAATTTCCTTACCTAAATAGTTATTTGAAATCAAAACTCTAAAATAAATTGTCAAAATTTAAAAGAGACATGTGGATCTTGACAGTTATCTGACTATAAAGATCAATATATAGAAGTAGTAGTATAAGGAACAGTTATAAGATTAATAAAACTGTTCAGAGTAAATTAGCAGTTAAGGCAATAACTCTCTTCATTTAAGTTTCTTCATTCCCCCAAAAAATTCAGCTAGATGGCACCAGGGAAATAAAAAAAAAAGGGGGGTTAAAATGTGTTTTTCAAGATGGTGGCCATGGCAGCCATATTGGATTTCGGACCAACCAAAAAATTAACAAGACTTCATTCAAGACCATCTCGGGATTAATAAGAAAAGTTTCACTTCAATCTCACTTCTGTTGACTTGAGAAGAAGTTTAAGATAGGTTGTTCAGGGAAAACATTTTGCGCAATCATGTTACAAAATGTCCGCCATGGCAGCCATATTTATAAGGCCGAAAAATAACAACTCTTTATTGTCAATATATGTATGCCGTCAAAATTGTCATTCTATACTAATAATTCTTCCAGGGGGTTCAATGTAGCCAATATTAACCTAGTAAGATAGTAAGGTTGTGGTAATGCACAACACATCAAAAACTAAATGCACATATTAAAGCACACATTTTGTGTGGTATTGCTTGGCTAATATCATTGATTAAAAATTAAACGGAAAATTGGTGTACCTATGACTAAATAGCCATCACATTTTAATTCAAATTGATTGGTGATTTTAAAAGTAATTTTTAATTCATCAGTTTTTAAAATAATACTGGACCCTACATAAATTAGTCTTTCTATCATATACATTTATGTTTACGAATGATAGAAAAATGAGAGTAATATAGAAGTAATGAAAATAAAATTTCCTTCAGACAGTATAAGATTCATTGCCTTAACAAAAAGAGACATCCATTTGATGTTTTTCATATATGATGTATAGATAAGTGTGTATGTACTCTAAGGCTGGTCATGTGTGGCACTTTTTAAACAAAACACTTCAAATTATGAGTGTATACACCAGGTAACTATTCCATCTGTATATGACAGATCAACATGTGTTCAACGTATAGATGTATGGCTTAATGAGGAAATAGATTTAGTCGTACTCTTATATGTTTAGAAAATAAATAAACTCTATCCCACACTTATCTATTCATCATTTTTAAGTGTATATTAACCATGATAGAATCACACATCTGCGGGACAGAACCGCACATGTGTGCACAGCTGTACTATAGCCTATTTTGTTCAGTTTTTCTATTGTGTATACATGGTGCAGACATCATGCGCACATCACATATTGTGTAATGTTGTGTGATCCCACAACTGTATTTAAGGGTAGCCTGTATCAACAATATTGTTTCTAACATAACATGTATTTATTCATAGCTAACATCAAGAGAAACTCTAAGTGTACTCACCTGAAAATACTGTAAGAACTCCTTGAGTGTGTAGTCTTTGTTTCCCTGGACGTCCCATCTATCCCACATAGTAACACTCAGACCCTCCCTTTGAAAAACAAGCAAAATAATATTAACCTATCTGTATGAAAATATTCATTATGGTTGTTTCTTAACAGACATGTTCTCAATAGCTGCAAATCACATCAGCAATGTTCCTCAACGTTTCTTCAAGAAACTAGAGAAATATCCATTGATTTCTTCTCATGAAATAGGAATTACAGGACTTGTTTCAGGACTGACAGATTTCAGGACTGACAGATAACAGGACTTGTTTCAGGACTGACAGATTTCAGGACTGACAGATAACAGGACTTGTTTCAGGACTGACAGATAACAAACAAAAGGCTGACAGTCAATTGACAATGGAAGAGAAGTACATAAAACAATCCAACAACTTTAATGCCTTGGGTCATAAATTTGAATGTGGACACAAAACGATCAGGAAAATGCTTTCTCACACCTCAGACAGGGACATCCCACGTAACACCCCATCCTAGATTTTTTTTTATCCTGCCCTATCTGTCTAGTATTCTTATGTGTGTTTTCACAGAATTTTTTTATGCATCAGTGTATTCATTCGCTAAGGTGAATATATATATATAAAATCGCTTCAAAATTTACTATCTGCTTTATATTATCTGTTTTGTGTTTGATGTTGTTAAGATTCCTGATGTTGTGGATAAAATAAGATCTGTACTGTAAAATGTGTTGTATTTTTTATAAGCGCAGCCTACATTGTTTGCACTATCCAAGCATCATTTAAAAATGAAGAGGCTGTGTGGGTAGTTTGAGGCTCTCGCGGGACATGCCAACCTCTGATGAAGTATTGAATGACTTTCTGAGTAGTCAGTGCGAGAAATAAATCCACAGTTGGGATTATGTTACAGGATCTTAGCCCTCTTAGCAATCTCGCTCGGTTACAGGTAACAGATTTCATTATCATGTTAATCATTATTTGTGAGGAGAGACAAAACTTAACAGAAACAACTTTTTTCTGCTGGTCCTGGTACAGATAACACCAGGAAGGGAGACAATACTTAATTGAGAACTACTTCTGCTGGTCCTGCTACAGATAACACTATTAGTCTACAGGAAGAGAGACAATACTTACTTGAGAACTACGTCTTCTGCTGGTCCTGGCACAGATAACACTATTAGTCTACAGGAAGGGAGACAACTTACTTGAGAACAACCTTTTCTGCTGGTCCTGGTTCAGATAACACTATTAGTCTACAGGAAGGGAGACAACTTACTTGAGAACAACCTTTTCTGCTGGTCCTGGTTCAGATAACACTATTAGTCTACAGGAAGGGAGACAACTTACTTGAGAACAACCTTTTCTGCTGGTCCTGGTTCAGATAACACTATTAGTCTACAGGAAGGGAGACAACTTACTTGAGAACAACCTTTTCTGCTGGTCCTGGTTCAGATAACACTATTAGTCTACAGGAAGGGAGACAACTTACTTGAGAACAACCTTTTCTGCTGGTCCTGGTTCAGATAACACTATTAGTCTACAGGAAGGGAGACAACTTACTTGAGAACAACCTTTTCTGCTGGTCCTGGTTCAGATAACACTATTAGTCTACAGGAAGGGAGACAACTTACTTGAGAACAACCTTTTCTGCTGGTCCTGGTTCAGATAACACTATTAGTCTACAGGAAGGGAGACAACTTACTTGAGAACAACCTTTTCTGCTGGTCCTGGTTCAGATAACACTATTAGTCTACAGGAAGGGAGACAACTTACTTGAGAACAACCTTTTCTGCTGGTCCTGGTTCAGATAACACTATTAGTCTACAGGAAGGGAGACAACTTACTTGAGAACAACCTTTTCTGCTGGTCCTGGTTCAGATAACACTATTAGTCTACAGGAAGGGAGACAATACTTAATTGAGAACAACCTTTTCTGCTGGTCCTGGTTCAGATAACACTATTAGTCTACAGGAAGGGAGACAACTTACTTGAGAACAACCTTTTCTGCTGGTCCTGGTTCAGATAACACTATTAGTCTACAGGAAGGGAGACAACTTACTTGAGAACAACCTTTCCTGCTGGTCCTGGTTCAGATAACACTATTAGTCTACAGGAAGGGAGACAACTTACTTGAGAACAACCTTTTCTGCTGGTCCTGGTACAGATAACACTATTAGTCTACAGGAAGGGAGACAACTTACTTGAGAACAACCTTTTCTGCTGGTCCTGGTTCAGATAACACTATTAGTCTACAGGAAGGGAGACAACTTACTTGAGAACAACCTTTTCTGCTGGTCCTGGTTCAGATAACACTATTAGTCTACAGGAAGGGAGACAACTTACTTGAGAACAACCTTTTCTGCTGGTCCTGGTTCAGATAACACTATTAGTCTACAGGAAGGGAGACAACTTACTTGAGAACAACCTTTTCTGCTGGTCCTGGTTCAGATAACACTATTAGTCTACAGGAAGGGAGACAACTTACTTGAGAACAACCTTTTCTGCTGGTCCTGGTTCAGATAACACTATTAGTCTACAGGAAGGGAGACAACTTACTTGAGAACAACCTTTTCTGCTGGTCCTGGTTCAGATAACACTATCACAGGTAACGCAAGGTTCAAGAAGCCGTTCTTGTAATTTTCTATTGGGTGTTGATCTAATGTTTTGATCAGTTCTATAGAAACCTACAAATCAAACCAGATAACATTAAAACTAGAGTGACAGGAAATTTAGTGCATTTTGAACAAAGTACACTTAAAAGAAATTTTACTATGAACTTGAAAAATAACACTTCACTTGAAATAAAACAAATTCCCAGTACAAACTTTTCTTTGTCTTTGTCCTTATATTTCAGTTAATTTGAAATTAGCTACTAGTTATCTGAAATACTGCTTTACTTGAAATTAAATTGTTTTCAAATCACTTATTCTGAAGTGGATGTCAATGTGAGAGTTTCTACTAAATAACATGATTAATCTCCAAACAGACTAGTATTTAATGACAAGGAACACCCACCTTAATTATTACAGGTGACTTGTAATAGATACAAACAAATTTTGACTTTCATATTGCGAATTTTGATAAAGGTTCACCATTAATTGGTTAGGTATCTGTCTGCCATTAGTGCTGCAGTCAATAAGTATGATACATTGTACTATCAAAAGTTTGAATAAATGTCAAAATGTCTCTGAAAAATTCAATATGATAAATGGATCTAAACCTCATTCTGTAACACATTCAGCGATCGATGACTTACTAGTCCAGCTACAGCAGCTGTTGTCGTTGCAATGGCAGGTACAATTCGACCAGCAATACGTTTGACTTTGAGTCTGTCAGCACTATCAATGCTGTACATAGCTGCTCGCAGGTTCTGATAGAGACATTGCCACAATATATCAACAATTATATACAATAAGACTAAAGTTGAACTCAAATTTGACAATTAAATACAAGGTCATTTGACCATTAAATACAAGGTCATTATATTCCATAACTTATTTTAAAAGCTATTATTCATCTGCTCATATTTTCAATTTAAACTTAAGACTTAGCTCTCTTCTATGTCAACACTCACAGCGGCTGCTGTGATGAAGTCTATGTGACTATTACTGTCATCATCCTTCTCAAACTCAGCAACCTCCATCTCTTTTATCACTGGAATGAATAATGGTTTTTAATGTACAATAATTTTTTTGTCCTGAACAGTCTTAAGTAGAACAATCATCCACCTGCTGACACAGAGGCAGAACTCATCACAATTAAGATTTTACCTGTTTAATATACAGAGAAGCTGAAGAAATAAAGGTACTGATACGTAATTGAACACAATACAATAAATTATCTGTGTACTTCAGTTTTATACCATTAATTACTACTGGCATAAATAAAGCAAAAACATCATATTTCAAATTCTAATGAACCTTTATCATGAGTCCCAGCTCTTTGAATTGCATATTCTATCCTACTGGCTGCAGTTACAAAGTCATCATCCCCACTGGTGTCTGCCTCTTTCTTCACATTTTCGTCAGTTACAATTGACTGTAAAACAAAAGAAATATATTAAGAACAGTCACAAACAATGAAGAAGTTGTTAAATGTCAGATAATATCAAAGTTTTTTTCTACACTCTATTCATAACTGCCTGAATTTATTTAAAATGATTTTTCACCAAGTGACCACTCCCAAATACCTAGATCACTGACAGATCAGCAAGGGCCTCGTTATTTGGCTGGAAATCCCCCCCACCCACCATCCACCCACCAACCCACTACTAGACAATCACGCTCCAGACTGACAGCTTATTGTCAAGACCTTAAGTACACTCTGCCACAAAGTCAAGAAAGATTATTATGAAAAAAAACCATACTAACAAATACCTTCAACAATCTGATTTTTTTCATTTATAATAACAGTGACTTTGACCTTAGAACTTGGGACATAAAAAGCAATACCCCAAGCAAGCAATTTTGGTAAGGAAGTATTGTATGAAGTTTGATTTACATTGGGCAAAACAAACTCAAGTTATCACACAGAAACTGATTTTAACTTACAGTTACAGTGACCTTTGACCTTTAGACCTCAACAATTAAAATCTTACGGTTACAGTGACCTTTGACCTTTAGACCTCAATAACAATCTATCTCAAACAAGCACTTTTGGTCAAGAAGTATTGATTGGCAATAGGAAACTGGAGTTATTCCACAAAATGGATTTTCTATTATTGCAACAATAACCTCAGCCTTTGATTTCTGGATCTTAAATATAATCCTTAGTGAGGGATTTCAGTAAGAAAGCATTGTATGAAGTTTGAGTTTGGTTGGCCTAAGGAAACCAAAGTTATCTCATGGAAACCAATTTTCTACTTAGTAATCTGGACCATTGGCCTGGGACCTGAAAAGCAATCCAAATCAAGCCATTGTTGTAAGGAAGTATTGTATGAGGTTTGAGTTTAATTCTCCAAAGCAAACTTGAGTTATTGCACAGAAAAAGATTTTTCTTTCTATAGTCACAGTGACCTTGACCTTTGACTTTCAAATTTGTAAAGCAATCCCAAGCAAACACTTTCAGTAAGGAAGTACTATATGAAGTTTGGGTTAGATTGGGCAACCCAAACTTTAGTTTTCACAAGGAAACTGATTTTCTATTTATAGGAACAGTGACCTTGATCTTTGAAGATGAAAAGCAATCCCCATGCAAGCATTTTCAATAAGAAAGTTTGAGCTTGATCGACCCAATAGAAACTCAAGTCACTGCACAGAAATAAAAGTGCTGATAGACAGACAGACAGATGGACAGACACCATGATTAGAAAAGGCACTTGCACTTTCGTGTGGGGCCCTTATAAATTTCAATACCAGTAATGGTAAAAATCTAAAATTCAACTATTTTGTTTTTGTCTTGATCCCATGAGCTACTTAGAGAATGACCGTTATACCTGAAGCTCAATAATACCCACATGTAAGACCTACCTTTGAGGATGGTTTATACTTGGGCACCTCCGCTGATTGTAGAATCTCGCTGATGACACTTGGAGTTTCATCCTGTCCCAATACAATTAATCAATAGTTCAGAATCAGTTGACCCAACAAATAAAACAGGGAGTGACATATGTACAAATTCATTTGTTTGTAGACTTATTAGGCTACATTTATCCTCGAAATCAAATGTCCACAAAAATAGGATTTTTTTGAAAAAACACGAAACATCAGTAGTTACCATGATTACTTACCTGAGCTGATCGAGGAATTTGACATGCAGTAGCATACAGCTTTGCTGTACTTATAATGAAAGACAAATGTCTGTAATTAAAAAGAGAACATTTCATTGGATTAGCCTGGTTTTTATATATATATATAAATGGATTAGTCTGTTTTTGATATATGTACGGATTAGTCTGTTTTTGATATATAAATGGATTAGCCTGTTTTTGATATATAAATGGATTAGTCTGTTTTTGATATATAAATGGATTAGCCTGTTTTTGATATATAAATGGATCAGCCTGTTTTTGATATATAAATGGATTAGTCTGTTTTTGAAATATAAATGGATTAGCCTGTTTTTGAGATATAAATGGATTAGCCTGTTTTTGATATATAAATGGATTAGTCTGTTTTTGAGATATAAATGGATTAGTCTGTTTTTGATACATAAATGGATTAGTCTATTTTTGAAATATAAATGGATTACCCTGTTTTTCATACATAAATGGATTAGCCTGTTTTTGAGATATAAATGGATTAGTCTGTTTTTGATACATAAATGGATTAGTCTATTTTTGAAATATATATGGATTAGCCTGTTTTTGATACATAAATTGATTAGTCTGTTTTTGATACACATTTCCCTAAATTACAATTTCTTTCACTATTTCTCTAATACAACATCCTGTATACAGTGGACTTACAATAACTGAGACCCTGTCTGTCCTGGTCAAAATAATTCAGATTACTTTTTGTTTTTCCTGCTGAATTCAGTCAACAAGCTGATCTAAAAGTTCAGTTATCACATAATTTTCTCTCCCTTTTTGTTATAAACAGCTTTCACTTACATAGAATCTCCAACATTGAATTCCTGAGGAATAGGTGGTCGCTTCGGAGACTGCCAAAACAGAGCTGTAACACACAAGGATAAAGCATAACCTAGAAAGGATGTTGATCAGCAGCAATGCATAACTTAATTCTCTTTCAAAAAGAACAGGTCACTTTGAGACTTCACCACAAGTAACCTAAAAATCTACAGGAACTTGCTGAAAAAACTCAAAAACAAAAAGCATGCACTCAGATTTATTAGTTAAAACAACATAGAGTACACAAAATAAATGTTTTGGATATCAACAATGTATTCTCAAAATATCTTACTAATTGATTTCAATTGTTTAAATTTTTCAACATCAAATCCTGGTATGTTGGTATAAACAGTAAAACCTGTTTAATGCAGCTTCTCACAATTCTGTCATTTTTCAAATCCATAATCTAACCACATCCCATTTCATATAAAAGCTAACAAATATTGATTCTGACATCCTGTCTGTCTTGACCCTTTAACTGTCCCAATCCTTAAGAAACTCAGAAATAAGCCCATGCCGAGCAATAAGCCCACACAAATCTCTCATGTATTGTTATTATAGAGGATAACAGACAACTGCTGTTCCACTATCTTATAAGAAACTAACACATGGTTAGATTAAGAAATTGTGTGTCAGTTTAAAGTTTTCCAAAACCTGGACACTTACATCCGTCCTTCAATCTTGTATCTAATGGGAAATGGTGTAGTAGATGCCTTGCCTGCAAGTAAAGAACAAACCAGAGGATTTAGTACAGACAAGATAAATTTATACAGACAATATGAGAATAAAGACAGAAAAAATTAATAAGTACAGACAATATGAGATGAAGTACCGCCAAAATGAGAATAAGGACAGACATGACGAAAAAAATGAGAATATGTACTGACAAGACAAGTAAATAAAGATCAATAAGTAATGTTAAGAGGCTGAATGGCCTTAACGTACATCTGAATTACTATGCTGAAGTTGATCTTGTAATATATCATAGAAATAATCAACAAAGTTGAACCATGTTTTACATGTAATGTAAATTGTGCATGGCATTAACTGCCATCCCATACTAAGGTTTCTAACTGTGTTTGAATGAAAAGAAATGATAAACTCTTCCATCCAGGAAGATGGTTGAGTTGATTTAAACATTACTGAGTAATGAGAAGTTCTTTGAAATTTCATTCATTATGACCCCTTTGACCCTGCCCATCTGCTCCTTGGGATCAGCCATGGTCATTGTTGGCAAATTGTGATATTATCATCTTATAAAGATAACTCTAACCAAAGTTGAACTATTACCAATAAAAAGAAAATGATGAAAAATGTACTTTTCTTATATGAACTTATATGAACCTTCTTCCTAATGGGATATGTGAGACAATGAGGTCATGAAATTCACATTTATGGTAAAACACTTTAAAACCCTTCCATCAATAAAGAGCATTTGATTCTACCTAACTGGATACTGAGGAGAACACTTCTAAAATTTCAATAAATTTGAACCCTTTTTAGGCCTGCCGTGTAGCCAGTGGGAGGTTAGGATCATATGCCATAATTTACAATTTTGGTTAACCTTTGGCCATGAAAAGTTCCTGAAAAGTTTTGTTGGTTAAAGGGTTTGCCAGAAGTTGTAAAGAAAATACCATGACATGACATAACAAGATGAATAAGTATAGACAAGTATAGGCTACAGTGACAAAGCATTTTCTTTACTGAATCAATGTTATTATTTTCAGTATTTTGAAACCCTATGCTTTACCTTGTGATTGAAGTATTTTTCAAACTTCAGCCTGGCTAGTACTACACATGAACCCCAGTCTATGGGCTTCCCTCGCAGTATCTTACTGATCTGGATGGCGCCTTCAAGCGGTGACCCTTGTTTAAGATTCTGAAGGAAAATGATAAAACCAATATTGATTTATGATAATGTCAGCAACAACATCAACAACAACAAAAAAGTCATGTTTAAAAATGGAGCAAAGTCACAATTGGCTGGGTTGCAGTATGAGTGCAATGTCATATGGTATTTATAAGATAGTTAAGGGTGTTTTATTTGTTGAATATCAAGAAAAAACATCCGGAAGGAATCCATAATAGGAGGTGCACATCTTCAACATATATATAAACATCCTACAAAGTTTCAAGCTTCTACGTTAAAAACTCTAGGAGCAGTTGATTCTACAAAACTGGTACCCATTTCCCTGCCAAACTGCAGAAAATGACTAAGTTCCAAAGCCCGGAAAATCCAGAAAAATGTCTGGAATGAATTCAAAATAAGAGGTGCACATCTTCAACATATATATATAAACATCCTACAAAGTTTCTCGGTCAAAAACTCTAGGAGGAGTTGATTCTACAAAACTGGTTTTCCCCGACATTCACCATACTATAACCCAGATTTGCACTATGTGCAACCCGGCCAACAAAGTAATCCAATTTTAATTTTATTTCTTTACAGAACTGAAGTATTCATTATTCATGTCAAGTTTTTAAAATTCCCTCAGCTCTTATATAATTAGCATGATCTTTAGAAGGCAAAGTATTAGGGGATAACCTTAACATGTTTAATACTCTTTTAATGGTCAAGCTAATACTGTGTTAATGGTGACACATAGGGGACACAGCAAGCAGGCCACCTTTTGGGGTCAAGCTAATACTGTGTTAATGGTGACACATAGGGGACACAGCAAGCAGGCCACCTTTTGGGGTCAAGCTAATACTGTGTTAATGGTGACACATAGGGGACACAGCAAGCAGGCCACCTTTTGGGGTCAAGCTAATACTGTGTTGATGGTGACACATAGGGGACACAGCAAGCAGGCCACCTTTTGGGGTCAAGCTAATACTGTGTTAATGGTGACACATAGGGGACACAGCAAGCAGGCCACCTTTTGGGGTCAAGCTAATACTGTGTTAATGGTGACACATAGGGAACACAGCAAGCAGGCCACCTTTTGGGGTCAAGCTAATACTGTGTTAATGGTGACACATAGGGGACACAGCAAGCAGGCCACCTTTTGGGGTCAAGCTAGTGTAGGTGAACTGCTGGCATTAACAGTTATCATCTGAACTAGAAACAGGACCAAAATAAAATGATTATACTTACATCAATGACTTGTTGTGGTTGACCTTGGGTGGTCCAAAACTTGTTAAATAAAGCTGGCTTCTGGGCAAAGGAACTTTCAAACTGTAAAAACAAGTAAAATTTCATTACCTTCTAAACTTTCAAGTACCATCTCGTTTTCAACCATAGGTCAATATGCAGAGCTATTGGTTAATATCTAGTAAGCTAGGTCTATTTCTAAAATCCTGCAGAGAAAAGAATGAAAAACAAACATCCAAACACAAAATATGATCTAACAATACATTAAATTTTCATGGTATGCAGTGTTGTACCTACCTTGTTACATGCCCATGGTAACGGTGTTGTACCTACCTTGTTACATGCCCATGGTATACTGTGTTGTACCTACCTTGTTACATGCCCATGGTATACTGTGGTGTATTTACCTTGTTACATGCCCATGGTATACTGTGGTGTATTTACCTTGTTACATGCCCATGGTATACTGTGTTGTACCTACCTTGTTACATGCCCATGTTATACTGTGTTGTACCTACCTTGTTACATGCCCATGGTATACTGTGTTGTACCTACCTTGTTACATGCCCATGGTATACTGTGTTGTACCTACCTTGTTACATGCCCATGTTATACTGTGTTGTACCTACCTTGTTACATGCCCATGGTATACTGTGTTGTACCTACCTTGTTACATGCCCATGGTATACTGTGTTGTACCTACCATGTTACATGTCCATGGTATACTGTGTTGTACCTACCATGTCCATGGTATACTGTGTTGTACCTACCTTGTTACATGCCCATGGTCTGTGTTGTACCTACCTTGTTACATGCCCATGGTATACTGTGTTGTACCTACCTTGTTACATGCCCATGGTATACTGTGTTGTACCTACCTTGTTACATGCCCATGTTATACTGTGTTGTACCTACCTTGTTACATGCCCATGGTATACTGTGTTGTACCTACCTTGTTACATGTCCATGGTATACTGTGTTGTACCTACCTTGTTACATGCCCATGGTATACTGTGTTGTACCTACCTTGTTACATGCCCATGTTAAACTGTGTTGTACCTACCTTGTTAAACTGTGTTGTACCTACCTTGTTACATGCCCATGGTATACTGTGTTGTACCTACCTTGTTACATGCCCATGGTATACTGTGGTGTATTTACCTTGTTACATGCCCATGTTATACTGTGTTGTACCTACCTTGTTACATGCCCATGTTATACTGTGTTGTACCTACCTTGTTACATGCCCATGGTATACTGTGTTGTACCTACCTTGTTACATGCCCATGGTATACTGTGTTGTACCTACCTTGTTACATGCCCATGGTATACTGTGGTGTATTTACCTTGTTACATGCCCATGTTAAACTGTGTTGTACCTACCTTGTTACATGCCCATGTTATACTGTGTTGTACCTACCTTGTTACATGCCCATGGTATACTGTGTTGTATTTACCTTGTTACATGCCCATGTTAAACTGTGTTGTACCTACCTTGTTACATGCCCATGTTAAACTGTGTTGTACCTACCTTGTTACATGCCCATGTTATACTGTGTTGTACCTACCTTGTTACATGCCCATGGTAACGGTGTTGTACCTACCTTGTTACATGCCCATGGTAACGGTGTTGTACCTACCTTGTTACATGTCCATGGTATACTGTGTTGTACCTACCTTGTTACATGTCCCTTGTTACTTGTTACATGCCCATGGTATACTGTGTTGTACCTACCTTGTTACATGTCCATGGTATACTGTGTTGTACCTACCTTGTTACATGCCCATGGTATACTGTGTTGTACCTACCTTGTTACATGCCCATGGTATACTGTGTTGTACCTACCTTGTTACATGCCCATGGTATACTGTGTTGTATCTACCTTGTTACATGCCCATGTTAAACTGTGTTGTACCTACCTTGTTACATGCCCATGGTATACTGTGTTGTACCTACCTTGTTACATGCCCATGGTATACTGTGTTGTACCTACCTTGTTACATGCCCATGGTATACTGTGTTGTACCTACCTTGTTACATGCCCATGGTATACTGTGTTGTACCTACCTTGTTACATGCCCATGGTATACTGTGGTGTATTTACCTTGTTACATGCCCATGTTAAACTGTGTTGTACCTACCTTGTTACATGCCCATGGTATACTGTGTTGTACCTACCTTGTTACATGCCCATGGTATACTGTGTTGTACCTACCTTGTTACATGCCCATGTTAAACTGTGTTGTACCTACCTTGTTACATGCCCATGGTCTGTGTTGTACCTACCTTGTTACATGCCCATGGTATACTGTGTTGTACCTACCTTGTTACATGCCCATGGTATACTGTGTTGTACCTACCTTGTCTCAAGCCCATGGTATACAGCATTGTACCTACCTTGTCCCGTGCCCATTGTATACAATGTTCTATCTGTGCAGGAAATGACTTTAATGTACAGTATGGTATATCCTCATCTACTGGGTCTCTCTGTCAAAAACAAGAATATCAGTGAAAACACAGTGGACACAATATTCTTGCAAAGGGCAATAATTCTGTAACTTTGGGGTTGCAGGTCCTGAATTTGGTACACTCTCTAGGTATGACCAAATTATATGAATAAGTTTCATGATCCTAATTTTAATGCATGCAAAGCTATGCGAATGACACAAAAAGGGCAATAACCCTGTGCTGAAGGGTCATGGGCCTACACATTGGTACACTGCACATTGTCTTCATATGATCAATGTAAATACCAAGTTTCATTATTCTACCTCAAATGCAAGCGAAGTTACACTCTGCAGCTGAGGGGTTGAGGGCCCTAAATTTGGTGCACTGCACCTTTTTCTTAGTATGATCAATGTAAACACCAAGTTTCATTATTCTACCTCAAATGCAAGCAAAGTTACACTCTGAACTGAGGGGTCAAGAGCCCTAAATTTGGTGCACTGCACCTTTTTCTTAGTATGATCAATGTAAACACCAAGTTTCATTATCCTAGTATAAATGCAAGCAAAGATATGCTCCAGACAAAATTTTAACAAAGGGCAATAACTCTGCAGCTGAGGGGTTGAGGGCCCTTAATTTGATACATTCCACATCCCCTAAGTATAAGGTGGTGACTATATGCTTCTGAAAAAGTTTAGGGGAGTATAACAAAAAAAAAGCCAAGTCTATACATCATGACATATGTCAGTGTTCAAGGTGAGTTTATGTGAGTTTGATACCAAGAATAATTAGCAACAACTGCCATCAGCTGTAAGACAATATAACTATGTAACACAGAGTTTAGATTGTAAAACGGCTACTGCTTACCTGACTACCATAGGACTCTGTTAGGTGAGGTATAATGACCTGTACATGACCTTTGGTTCCCATGGTCCCAGATTCTAACAAGGCTTTCTGATTGGTCACACACCGGCTGGAAATACATAAAACATTTTTAACACAAATTTTACAACAAAATACAATAATTTGAGATAGCTAACTAAAATTAGAACTCTTAGAGGAGAACTCCTGCCCCTACAAAAACCACAGGACATTTTGTCTCAGTACATAATATGACATAACAAAATACAAAATTGCACAATACTGCTGTCACTTATCACAAAACACCATGACCTTACCTGTCTACATAGCACAATGACTTTACCTGTCTACAAAGCACAATGACTTTACCTGTCTACATAGCACCAAGACTTAGCCTGTCCACATTGTCATGACCTTACCTGTCCATGTACAGCCTTGACCTTCCCTGTCTACAAAACACCATGACCTTACCTGTTTACATAGCACCATGACCTTCCCTGTCTACATAGCACAAAGACTTGCCTGTCCACATTGTCGTGACTTTACCTGTCCACATACAGCCTTGACCTTCCCTATCTATGCAACACCATGACCTTACCTGTCTACATAGAACCATGACCTTCCCTGTCTACATAGCACCAAGACTTAACCCGTCCACATTGTCGTGACCTGTCTACAAAACACTATGACTTTACCTGTCTACAAAATAGCATGACCTTACTTTCCCTATACTGCTGTGGCCTTCCTTGTCAACATACCATCGTGACCTTACCTGTCTACATACAGCCTTGACCTTACCTGTCTACAAAACACCATGACTTTGCCTGTCTAAATCACCCTGACCTTAGCTGTCCACATACTATCATGACCTTACCTGTCCACATACCGCCGAGCCTCAACATTGTCCAGGGCATTTACCACCAAGTCTTGGTTGCCATAGAAATCATCATTGTAATGGTCAGCTTCTGTTTGAGGGCACACTGCACAGACATAAAAAAATCATGATACATAAGCCCAACCATATCTATTACTGTACAATGATACACAAATGATAATTCCAGTAATAAGCCCACCACTGCAGTTTGAGATAGAGTTAACTGTTGACACCCTGGGTTTACTGCACAACAAAAGCAGTTATGTGTTTCTATGTTGACTATGGCACTAGATCATACCTGCTCTAGTGCCATAGTCTAGACTCTTCAAAATAGGTACCAGTTTTATATAGTTGTAGTCTAGTTAACAGGTTTCGATCTTTCTAGTTTTTTAAAGTTATGTGTTGGATTTATACACAGAATTCAATTTGTATTTTAAATCACTTACCTTTGTGCTGTTGAGCTTCAATTCTTATAGCTGTAAAATCAACAAAAACATGTTAAAGTACTGTTTGTGGCCTAATTCACATTCACAGCAAATTGACAAAACAATAGGCATAGCAGTCTGGACGGTCACCCAGGATCAACAATAATAAACAAATAGGTTAAGGCCACAACAATTTGAAAAGAAGTTCTTCTCGAAATCTTGAGTAAAAAAAATAATTTTAGTAATTAGAAATGATTTTAATTTTGGTTGAAGCAAACATGCACAGGTCACCAGCATATATAGACAAGAGATCCCAGAGGGATCTTGGCGCCCACCATTTGAGGATCTTTTTTCAGTTCTTGAAGATTTTTTTTTGTTTGTTACAGGTGTTGTAAATGTTCATGAACTGGTCTTCATTGAATGTACTCAATGATGGCACAAGATATTTTTATTAAGCACCTATTAGCAAATATCATTTGAAAAAAATCCCAAAGTATTATTAGATAGCAGTCAGTTACAGGTGGATAATGGACAATATGCCTGTGCTGTATTACTGTCGACATCCAAGATGGCTGCCTGTGGGTCACCTTGATTTCAAATCAGTCCAAAAAAGTAACAATGCACAACTAGGGACTAAGGGGAAACTGCATATGAAATTTGAGAAAGATCCATCCAGTACTTTCCAAGAAATAGCAGTAACAAACTTTTACTTCCAAAATCCAAGATGGTTGCCTGTCGGCCATCTTGAATTCGAATCAGTCCAAAAAAGGTACAATGCACAACTAGGAACCAAGGGGAAACTGCATATGAAATTTGAGGAAGATCCATTTAGTACTTTCTCAGAAATAGCGGTAACAAACGTTTACATCCAAAATCCAAGATGGCCATCTGTCGGCCAACTTGAATTCAAATCAGTCCAAAAAAGGTACAATGCACAACTAGGGACCAAGGGGAAACTGTATATGAAATTTCAGAAAGATCCATCCAGTACTTCTCCAGAAATAGCGGTAACAAACTTTTACTTCCAAAATCCAAGATGGCCACCTGTCGGCCATCTTGAATTCGAATCAGTCCAAAAAAGGTACAGTGCACAACTAGGGACCAAGGGGAACCTGCATATGAAATTTGAGAAAGATCCATCCAGAACTTTTCCAGAAATAGCGGTAACAAGAATTGTTTACGGACGGACAGACGGACGGACGACGGACCACGGACGCAGGGCGATTTGAATAACCCACCATCTATTTGAATAGATGGTGGGCTAAAAACTACAAACAAGATTAATCTGTAGCATTTACGTCAATAACAGATGGACACCGAAAGACAAAATGTACATTTAAGGCCCATATCTGAATGTGTTCCAAAAAGTATTTCTACGTTAAATATGGAGTCTACTGTAACATCTCTTCCTTAGTTCAGAGGAAATTGTAGTAAACATGAGATTTTGGAATGCTTTACTTTTCGGTTGTCATGATTAGAGAAATCAATTTAATATATTAAGAATATCAGCTGACACTTTTATATAACAAGATCATAATTCAACACAATATCAAGTCCACAAAAGCAGTAGGATGTCACCAAGATTTGCACGCTAAGTTGTGCCAGTTGCTTATGACTTTTAAACACAATGAAGAATTTCTGTTTATGATAGAAGGGGAACAGGTCACAACAATACAACATATCACTAATACTCTTTGTTGAGTAGTTTATATAACATGAGATATTTCCCTTTAACTATCTTGAACGATATTTAGCCTAAAACTCTAGAAAATAAGTAAAAATTGTCCTTATATTTAGATACTTTATTTCTTATTTCAATTTTTGTATGGCAAGAAACTAAGAAAACCATGCATATCTCCTAAAATACTTTAATACCAAAATAATGAAGAGACCAAATGTTCAGTTCTGTAAACAGCTTGATCGTTACAAATGTATGTCTATCCGAACAGTACGTAATGATTAAACTGATTCTGAGATGAACCAAAGGTGACCACATTAAGACAATTCATTATTACATATGCCTACGCTATGATTTATATTTCACCGTCAGATAAACAGCACAGGTATTTTTCTAAAATGTGAATTTATTCAGTTTAGTTTCAAGGCTTTTCTTTTTCTTAATATTAATACAATTATTATTTGTCCATTATCAATGGTCTGGAAAGATGATGCTTCCGTAAGTCTGCTAGAAGAAATAAGTTATCATTACAATGTATCTTGCATTGATCAACCAGGAAAAGCTGAATACTATGCCTACATGAGAATATCCAAATTATTTTTCACTAACATACAATATGATAGTGTCATGGAATAATGAATCCTATTCAACACAGGGATGTGTCTTAACATGCAGTAAACACTTTCTAATCATCATACAATCATATCTGAGAAACCATGTTCTTTCCCATGTTTTTCTTTTTTATCTGCATCATAAAAATGCTTTACTTGTGTTCACTTTCCTGATGATTAAAGCATATATGCGACTAAAATTAGCGATCTATGAATTTACAATCTGACACCAAAAAAATCCGGAATTTTGATATTTTTTTTTTTAAGAGCGGTAATTCATTTTTATTTTTTTCTTCTCTACTTCAGATATTAAGAGCGGTAATTCTGAAAGAACTATTTACAAGTTGGCATGGCCTAAAGAAATTGTGACACTGATGATAGTAAGCAAGAGTCAATAAATGCATACCATCAAAACTGTCATCCTATGCTAGTAATTCTAATAAAGTTTTTTTCCAATTGGAAATAAACGTCATGCTCAAAAAGCAATTTTTCTATAAAAATTATAATAAATTCAACCTCCTTCCCAGGGAGAAATATGAGATTCATTGTGGTAAAGCACTTTAAGATGGTTCCATCCATGAGGAGAATTTGATTTAACCATATCTCAGTGTTGGAGATTTTCGAAAGTTCAGACAATTTGACATTTTTGACCCAACCCCTCAAGCCCCTATGCGTTGGGGACTATATGATTGGCTATATTTGATCTTAGGCCAAGGATTTCCGCAAATTTTCCCTGAAATTGGTTTAGGGGTTTTGGAGACAAAGTTGAAAATTTAAAAAGTAATGGAAGCAGGACGCCAGACAAAGGTGATTGCAATGGGTTACCTAAAAAGTTATTAATTGATGAGTGAAAGTTCTGTGAAAATAAGTCAACTTCTACTTTGAAACAATGGTTTCTGATATAAAACAATCAAACAAAACGTATCATGGGATTAAACTGATCCTAATGATTATGTGTAGATATGGTAGAAACATTTACCTGGGTTAATCTCATTTGCTGATTGGGCAGCAGTGGTACTCTTTGGTTTCTGCAAAACACATAAAAAAAATGTTATTTTTTGTCATGTGATAAAACATCCCAATCAACTAAGAAGAAAAAAAGGTCCATGTGGACTGTAAGTGCATAGATGTTTCAAAGTATGAATCCAGTGTTTATAGAATCAACCAATCAGTGCAGATACGATTATAAAAATGTCACAAGAAAACCGTAGCTGTCATCTCCAGTGTGGTAAGTTTACCTTCCACTTTGCCAACATTGTCATTTATACCACATACACAGTAGTATATGAGCTAACAAAATTGTTTTGGTCATTAATGTACAGGGGCAAAGTTCTTTGAAGTAGGTACCATATGCAACTGCATGGGACAGAAACTGCAAGCCAAAAAAGTTCTATACACTAAAACCATTAGAAAGAAATCCATTTAGAAATAAAACAAGAGATCCCAGAGGGATCTTGGAGCCAACCATGGTTTGATCTTGATATGATCTTTTAAAGTTGGATCATTTCCCTTCTTTTCTCAGTTTTTGCTCTTGATGATAAAACATTTGAACATTCCTTTGCATAAATAGCAATGATAATTTTCATCTACCAAATCCAAAATGGCCATCTAGAAGCCATTTTGCTTCTTCTGATCAGTCCCAAAATCAAACAAGCACAAGAAGAGACCAAAGTGAACATAGATAGGAAATTTGAGAGCCATCCATTCAGCACTTCTTCAGAAATAGCAATAACAATCTTTACTAGGCAAAATCAAAGATGGCTGCCTGTTTTTCTGATCAGTCCTAATTCACACAGGCACAACTAGGGATCTTTAGGAACCTATTCATGAAATTTCAGAAAGAAATATACTGTAATTATCAAGAAATAGTGATAAAAAGCTTGTAAAGTCAAAATCCAAGATAGTCATCTGTTGGCTGTTTTGTTTTTCTGAGCAGACCCAAAATTAAATGTGCACTAGGGACAATGGGGATTTTACTTATGAATTTTGAGAAAGATACATCCAGTACTTCTTAAGAAATAGCAATAACAAACTTTCAAAGTCAAAATTCAAGATGGCCACCTGTCTGCCGTTTTGGATTTGCTGATCGGTCACATAATTAGATGGACACAACTAGAGACCAAGGGGAACATACATATAAAATTTGAGAAAGATCTATGCAACCGTTCTCAAGAAATAGCGATAATAAACATGCAAATTCAAAATCCAAGATGGTCGTCTGTTGGCCATTTTGTTTTTCTGTTCACACCCAAAATCAAACTGGCACAACTAGGGACCAAGGGAAACCATCATGTGAAATTCAAGAAAGATCAATCACGTCCTTTCCAAGAAATAGCAATCACAAACTTTCACAGTTAAAATACAAGATGGCCACCTGTCAATCATTTTGCTTTTCTGATCAAACCCAAAATCAAATGTGCACAACTAGGGATCAAGGGAAATCTACATATGAAATCTGAGAAAGATCCATCAAGTGCTTCTCAAGAAATAGTGAAAAATTGTTTATGGATGGATAGACAGAGAGGTGGATGGCTGGATGGAAGGACAGAAGACAAAGGTGAACTGAATAGCCCACCATCTAATGACAAAAGACAGTATCATTTTACACCATGAAACTAAAAAGGTACAGGCATATACAGAATATCTTCACAAAAGATCACTCTCATAATGACTTTGCTCACAATGAACCAGGAAGGTTGGAGAAGTACAACTTTAAATTTTGATGAGTCATTCACTTTATATGTAGATAATACAGGTAAGCAACCAATAATAGACAAGCATGCAGAATTGTAAAGTGCTACTGAGCTTAAGTTGTTATTAAATTTCCTTAGATACCCCAAATGCCATACAATCACTGAATAAAAGATAGCAACCTGATATCACTTTATCAGTTACACATCCATCAAATATGGTATTTCAGGAAAAACCAGCTACTACATCCTCATTCCAGATGTTCTAGCTCAACTCCCATACAGTTAGGTCATTGCAGATTACACAACTCACATACGATAAGACGTTTTCTTCTATTTGACTAAAACCGCAAAGAAAATTTAGAATGTCTTGCTCCAAACATGCACAGAAAGCATATGAAATGGTATGTTCTTCTTGTCACAATAAACTTGTATGCCACGAATGTATAGAAAAAATGCATACTGGACACAAGTTTGAAGAACTCAAAACAGCAGCTGAAAGGATTACAGTGGGATTACAAAAGCAGAAAATGGAAAACTCACACTTCAGTGAAATCAAAGGAGACTTAAAAGACCTTCAAACTATAAGGACGAGAGAGCAGGAACTGGCTGATCAAACACGAGAAGAAACTTTACGACGCCGTGACCTCCTAAAGAGGGTTATTGATGAGTTTGCTGAAAAACTGTTATTTGATCAAGAGAAATGCTTTCAGGAAATCTTCACTACATTGGATGAATATCAAAAAGAGAATCAAGAGAAAGTGCTGCAAATTTTGCAGTTTCAGAGTAAGCTGGCCGAGCTAATGAGGGAAGATAACTATATCAAGGTCATCAAGGAAGGAAAATCTATGGCCTTACCAAGATATACTAAACACCCAATGCTTTCAATGAAAAGGATGACTTTGAAACCAGGGTGTCCTATTGATCGAGAGCAGCTTCAGAAAGCATTTGGACCTATTGACATTGACGATATGATGAATTCCTATATCATACATCCTATACAAGTCTCTTCAGTATATTCTGAGATTGACAGTGTAACTTCAGATGACCTTTATGGAGATGGACGCCAGTCACAAATGACTAATCCCACCAGGGAACACAGTCTGGCTATATCTGAGCTTGATAATGATGTTGGAAGGAGGGAAGTGTCCCAACAATCACTGGAAATTAAACTACATGCTGCCTTAACCAACAAGGAAACCCTACACATGTTGGACAATAGAGCAACATTCGTGTGATTATCACAAGATACTGTCAACTTAATGCTAAGTATACCGATATGAACAAACAACTAGAATGGGCAACTAGGCAATAGTGTTTTACACTCCATTGTACTATATAGTGCTGACAAGTAGACAGTGGTGTTTTACACTATAAGGTACTGTGTAGTACTGACAACTAGACAGTGGTGTTTTACACTACAAGGTACTGTATAGTGCTGACAAGTAGACAGTGGTGTTTTACACTTCATTGTACTGTATAGTGCTGACAAGTAGACAGTGGTGTTTTACACTCCATTGTACTGTGTAGTACTGACAAGTAGACAGTGGTGTTTTACACTATAAGGTACTGTATAGTGCTGACAACTAGACAGTGGTGTTTATACTTCAAGGTACTGCATAGTACTGACAACTAGACAGTTGTGTTAATACTTCAAGGTACTGCATAGTGCTGGCAAGTAGACAGTGGTGTTTTACACTATAAGGTACTGTGTAGTACTGACAAGTAGACAGTGGTGTTTTACACTCCATTGTACTGTATAGTACTGACAAGTAGACAGTGGTGTTTTACACTCCATTGTACTGTATAGTGCTGACAAGTAGACAGTGGTGTTTTACACTATAAGGTACTGTATAGTGCTGACAAGTAGACAGTGGTGTTTTACACTATAAACAGTGGTGTTTTACACTATAAGGTACTGTGTAGTACTGACAAGTAGACAGTGGTGTTTTACACTCCATTGTGCTGTATAGTGCTGACAAGTAGACAGTGGTGTTTTACACTATAAGTAGTGGTGTTTTACACTCCATTGTACTGTATAGTGCTGACAAGTAGACAGTGGTGTTTTACTATAAGGTACTGTATAAACCATTGTACTGTATAGTGCTGACAAGTAGACAGTGGTGTTTTACACTCAATAGACAGTGGTGTTTTACACTGTACTGTAGTAGTGCTGACAAGTAGACAGTGGTGTTTTACAGTGCTGACAAGTAGACAGTGGTGTTTTACACTATAAGGTACTGTATAGTGCTGACAACTAGACAGTGGTGTTTTACACTATAAGGTACTGTGTAGTACATAGTGCTAGACAGTGGTGACAACTAGACAACTAGACAATAGTGTTTTACACTCCATTGTACTGTATAGTGCTGACAAGTAGACAGTGGTGTTTTACACTATAAGGTACTGTGTAGTACTGACAAGTAGACAGTGGTGTTTTACACTCCATTGTACTGTATAGTGCTGACAAGTAGACAGTGGTGTTTTACACTCCATTGTACGGTATAGTGCTGACAAGTAGACAGTGGTGTTTTACACTATAAGGTACTGTGTAGTACTGACAACTAGACAATAGTGTTTTACACTCCATTGTACTGTATAGTGCTGACAAGTAGACAGTGGTGTTTTACACTATAAACAGTGGTGTTTTACACTCCATTGTACTGTATAGTGCTGACAACTAGACAGTGGTGTTTTACACTCCATTGTACTGTATAGTGCTGACAAGTAGACAGTGGTGTTTTACACTATAAGGTACTGTATAGTGCTGACAAGTAGACAGTGGTGTTTTACACTATAAGGTACTGTGTAGTGCTGACAAGTAGACAGTGGTGTTTTACACTACAAGGTACTGTATAGTGCTGACAAGTAGACAGTGGTGTTTTACACTCCATTGTATAAGTACTGTGTGACAAGTGACAAGTAGACAGTGGTGTTTTACACTAATTGTACTGTATAGTGCTGACAAGTAGACAGTGGTGTTTTACACTACATTGTACGGTATAGTGCTGACAATAGACAGTGGTGTTTTACACTATAAGGTACTGTGTAGTGCTGACAAGTAGTCAGTGGTGTTTTTCTGTATAGTGCTGACAAGTAGACAGTGGTGTTTTACACTATAAGTAGTGGTGTTTTACACTCCATTGTACTGTATAGTGCTGACAAGTAGACAGTGGTGTTTTACACTCCATTGTACTGTATAGTACTGACAAGTAGACAGTGGTGTTTTACACTATAAGGTACTGTGTAGTACTGACAAGTAGACAGTGGTGTTTTACACTACAAGGTACTGTATAGTGCTGACAAGTAGACAGTGGTGTTTTACACTCCATTGTGTTAGTTACACTCTGTGTAGTACTGACAACTAGACAGTTGTGTTAATACTTCAAGGTACTGCATAGTGCTGGCAAGTAGACAGTGGTGTTTTACACTATAAGGTACTGTGTAGTACTGACAAGTAGACAGTGGTGTTTTACACTCCATTGTACTGTATAGTGCTGACAAGTAGACAGTGGTGTTTTACACTATAAGGTACTGTGTAGTACTGACAACTAGACAGTGGTGTTTTACACTATAAGGTACTGTATAGTGCTGACAAGTAGACAGTGGTGTTTTACACTATAAGGTACTGTGTAGTACTGACAAGTAGACAGTGGTGTTTTACACTCCATTGTACTGTATAGTGCTGACAAGTAGACAGTGGTGTTTTACACTATAAGGTACTGTGTAGTACTGACAACTAGACAGTGGTGTTTTACACTACAAGGTACTGTATAGTGCTGACAACTAGACAGTGGTGTTTTACATTACAAGGTACTGTGTAGTGCTGACAACTAGACAGTGGTGTTTTACACTATTGTACTGTGTAGTAGTGGTGACAACTAGACAGTGGTGTTTTACACTATAAGGTACTGTGTAGTACTGACAACTAGACAGTGGTGTTTTACTCTATGAGGTACTGTGTAGTACTGACAACTAGACAGTGGTGTTTTACACTATAAGGTACTGTATAGTGCTGACAAGTAGACAGTGGTGTTTTACACTATAAGGTAATGTGTAGTACTGACAAGTAGACAGTGGTGTTTTACACTCCATTGTACTGTATAGTGCTGACAAGTAGACAGTGGTGTTTTACACTATAAGGTACTGTGTAGTACTGACAAGTAGACAGTGGTGTTTTACACTATAAGGTACTGTGTAGTACTGACAACTAGACAGTGGTGTTTTACACTATAAGGTACTGTGTAGTACTGACAACTAGACAGTGGTGTTTTACACTATAAGGTACTGTGTAGTACTGACAACTAGACAGTAGTGTTTTACACTATAAGGTACTGTGTAGTACTGACAAGTAGACAGTGGTGTTTTACACTATAAGGTACTGTGTAGTACTGACAACTAGACAGTGGTGTTTTACATTACAAGGTACTGTGTAGTATTGACAACTAGACAGTGGTGTTTAACATTACAAGGTACTGTGTAGTACTGACAACTAGACAGTGGTGTTTAACATTACAAGGTACTGTGTAGTACTGACAACTAGACAGTGGTGTTTTACACTATAAGGTACTGTGTAGTACTGACAACTAGACAGTGGTGTTTAACATTACAAGGTACTGTGTAGTACTGACAACTAGACAGTTGTGTTTATACTCCAAAGTAATGTTAAAACAACAGTAGAATAAGAATATCATACTGGAAGACTGAATGAATTTTATGAATGCTATAAACATTTCAGGAGGAAAATGAAACAAACAATTTGAATATATTTATTTTACTAGTGATTTCAAAATGATTACATTGAAAAACTTCATGATTTCCCACAATGATGTGTTTGACATTATGAAAATTGTGATTACAGTTATCATTTCTCATGAAAGAAATGATTGAACATGTTATTACAGTCGAAACTCGTTATCTTGAAATTCAACGGACCATGGAAATGGTTCAACTTATCCAAAGTTTGACTCAACTAGAGTGTCCAAAATAAGGTGAACTTATCCTGATGTTGATTACTGATGGACGGAATGATGGCTATGACAGAACGCAACACCATGCTACAAACAGCGCTATTCAATCTGTTGATTTACAACTGAAGGGACTGAAAAATCACTTTGACTCAACTGAAATTGCAACTCAATGAAATTCGGGTCATCCGAACTAAACTTAAGATATCGAAGGGAAAAAATCAGAACTTGAAAATTATTTCAACTCAAGCAGAATTTTTTCACTTCAGCAATTTCGAGACAACGAGTTTCAACTGTACCTGTAATACATATCCATAATCCATATGTGAAATATGAAAACTGGCAGGATAAGAATTCCACAGGGCATGATTAAATCAACATCAGGAAAAAAGAGTAGAAGCTTTGAAGTTTTAAAACTTTTGTGATTATTTAAAAGGAATCCTCAATTTTAGATATCTTATGTAAATACCATTACTTTTCCAATCTGTTTTTCTTCTTTCTTAATACTGTGAGCTTATTCAAACTATACCATTCAGCAATATATGTGATGTTTTATATACTGCATACTTTGTCTTTCCACACAGATACTCAGATTTTAGTCAATGCAGTGTATATGGCCTCTGCCATTGTTTGATCTTTATTTCTTCCTTTTCTGTTGGATCATTTAGCTTCTGTTTAAATTAAGATGCCCAAAGAAGTGTGGTCAGAAGAAAAATTGTCAATTTGGCTGGACTTACCAAAATGTGGTATGGTCTGAAGAGAAATTGTCGGTTTTCACTTACCTGGATATGGTGTGGTCTGTAAAGAAATTGTCTGTTTTTACTTACCCGAATGTGGTGTGGTCTGAATAGAAATTGTCTGTTTTTACTTACCAGGATGTGGTGTGGTCTGAAGAGAAATTGTCTGTTTTTACTTACCTGGATGTGGTGTGGTCTGAAGAGAAATTGTCTGTTTTAACTTACCCTGATGTGGTGTGGTCTGAAGAGAAATTGTCTGGTCTGAAGAGAAATTGTCTGTTTTGACTTACCGGTATGTGGTGTGGTCTGAAGTGAAATGGTCTGTTTTTACTTACCCGAATGTGGTGTGGTCTGAAGAGAAGTTGTCTGTTTTTACTTACCCGGATGTGGTGTGGTCTGAATAGAAATTGTCTGTTTTTACTTACCCGGATGTGGTGTGGTCTGAAGAGAAATTGTCTGTTTTTACTTACCCGGATGTCGTGTGGTCTGAAGAGAAATTGTCTGCTTTCACTTACCCGGATGTGGTGTGGTCTGAATAGAAATTGTCTGTTTTTACTTACCCGGATGTGGTGTGGTCTGAATAGAAATTGTCTGCTTTTACTTATCCGGATGTGGTGTGGTCTGAAGAGAAATTGTCTGTTTTTACTTACCCGGATGTGGTGTGGTCTGAAGAGAAATTGTCTGTTTTTACTTACCCGAATGTGGTGTGGTCTGAAGAGAAATTGTCTGTTTTTACTTATCCGGATGTGGTGTGGTCTGAAGAGAAATTGTCTGTTTTTACTTACCCGGATGTGGTGTGGTCTGAAGAGAAATTGTCTGTTTTTACTTACCCGGATGTGGTGTGGTCTGAAGAGAAATTGTCTGTTTTTACTTACCCGGATGTGGTGTGGTCTGAAGAGAAATTGTCTGCTTTCACTTACCCGGATGTGGTGTGGTCTGAATAGAAATTGTCTGTTTTTACTTACCCGGATGTGGTGTGGTCTGAATAGAAATTGTCTGCTTTTACTTATCCGGATGTGGTGTGGTCTGAAGAGAAATTGTCTGTTTTTACTTACCCGGATGTGGTGTGGTCTGAAGAGAAATTGTCTGTTTTTACTTACCCGGATGTGGTGTGGTCTGAAGAGAAATTGTCTGTTTTTACTTATCCGGATGTGGTGTGGTCTGAAGAGAAATTGTCTGTTTTTACTTACCCGGATGTGGTGTGGTCTGAAGAGAAATTGTCTGTTTTTACTTACCCGGATGTGGTGTGGTCTGAAGAGAAATTGTCTGTTTTTACTTACCCGGATGTGGTGTGGTCTGAAGAGAAATTGTCTGTTTAAATTTGATTTCTCTATGATGTCGTTGTCTGTTATTGTTATCTGTAATTATATAACAACAGATGCATATGACTTGTGTAAGGATGGAAGATACACTTTTCAAACCTGAACATCTTTTTATTACCTTCTACTGTTTTACATAATTTTGTAAGAAGAAGAATTCTATTTAGCTATTTTACTCCAGAATGATATAAATATAATCATATATTTCTAATAAAACATTTTATTCATTGTCCTTCCATCAACTGAAATGAAAAAGTTACCAGTGTGATCAGTTATAACTACACAGCATATGATCAGTTTATTCATCAGAACAATCAGCAGCATTAAATGTCAGATCATACCATTCCATTTGACAAACTTCCACATTCTACAGTACCTGGCCTTTATCCTGTGAAGCAATCCCCAATAAGGCATAATTCTTCAACATCTCACATCCTATAGCACCACAGCCAACCTGGCAAGTAAGTAACAGTTCACTTATATACAAAATGCATAATTGAAGTTAAATGAATACATATGTACATGTACATAGAATACAGAAAGTTGCAATGTAAAAAAATATCATCAAATCAGATTTCTTACTTCATGCTTCTGTAGATGTTTACAAATCCTGGATTGCCCAAAACTCCAAGAACGTTTTTTTCAACTCTTACATTGCCCCAACCCCTAAAGTACTTTGTACCAGATCATGTATTGCCCTAACCATCTAGTGCTTTTAACCAAGTCCTGCATTGCCCCAAACCATCAAGTACCTAATACCAAATCCTGTATTGTCCCAAGTCATCAAGTACCTAATACCAAATCCTGGTTATAAGCAGAAGAGCCAATTTTTAACAATTTTTTCAATCTGATTCACATATCACCCGCATCAGAATATAAGCGGCATCCTTTCTAAGAATGTGGTAACTGTTATGTTGACCAAAGTTTGTTGATATAACAGAAAAAGTGAATGCGATTTATGAAGATCGTCAGTGAAACATTTAATATAAATTTGCAAATGAATTATTCAGAGGTAATCCTTTATTTCATTGATGTGTTTAAAAAACGTACAATAGCAATTATTGAACTTGTTTGGCTTGAGAGTCCACATAGATTGTCTACGTACAGATATAGGGCCTGACTTCAGGTACAGTTTGCATAACAACATCTCCATCAGTGTTTGTACAGTTAAATAGCGAAGACCCTTTCATGCTAACAAAATTATATTATTATTACATATTATATTATATTGAAATATTGTAAACTTCCACTATGGCTTTGAAGTAACCACGAAAGTACTTGTAAATAACTTGGTACCGATGTCTCGTACTGGTGTACTGGTATCCTTGGTTTAAATCACAATTTTTTTATTCTTTCTGGAACCGTGGCGTGTTACAGCAACCAAAATTATCAGGGTGTGAATTCATGCAGGTCAATAGTGCATGTGATATGCCTTGACAAAATGGCTGTTCAGAAATACATAACAGAACCAATGTCCAGGCGATGTCCCCCTCCTCCCCTCACCAAACCCACCAGGGAAAAAGCGATGACTTATAATTATACTCCAGTTTTTACAGGTATTTGATAATATTCCACCCGCTATAATCTATATAAAGACTTACCATAAACAATTTCATGTTTGCTAACTGACAACATTTTCCCTCTCCTATACAGATTCTCAGAGCATCATATCGATCACCTCTGTAAAAATAAGAAACCATCTTAACTAATCATATCACCACAATCATTATTTGATGAAATGAAATTCATTATCAGTAAGTAACTTTATTGCATGTAAAACACATGAAATAATTACCTAGTTTTAAACAACAATCATTATTTCTACACGTAAGTAAATCAATCTCAAGTAATAACTTAATCATCAACTGTTGAAAAAGTTGTGATTATCTTAGTATTTACCTTGGTTGGAACTGTACTGGATTGGAGATGTCCTTCTTACTTATGACATCAACAGCATCAAGATATAGCTGTAAAATGAATAGGATATTGCTTCTAATCTCAAATCAACTGCAAATGTAAACAGGATAGAGCTACCAGTCTTAAATTAACTGCATTTAAATATTGCTGTAAAATAAATATACACCAGCTACCAGCATCAAATCAACCGCATTAGGATATTGTTTTGAAACAAATTGACTGAGGGAAGTGAACTTTCCTCTGTGCTCTTTGAGATGATTGAGCCCATGTAGGTAAAAACTTCATTCATTGATGGGAGTAAACTCTGTAAATAAAAACTTACCCATTGATTGAGGGGAGTGAACTTCCCTGTGAGTGCTTTGAGGCCTTCTTGAGCCACAAATCCCCCAACAGCTGCACATAGAGGAACAAAACATCCACGAGCTGTGAACGACAACATCCGTACCAGGTCTTCATCTAATGGCTCCACCTGGAGGAAAACAACACAATTCCCATCCAATAGTTAGTTTTTTTCAAAATGTATGAAACGAAATTTCTATTCCTATATTTTACATGCAAGACATACCTTGATTCTAATGTTATCATAAAAACAATTGATTCTAGTAAGGAATAATCTTCAAACCAACAATCAAATGTATAGTAACTATTGAGAAACTTTTACCAGTCTTGCTCTTTTGCCAACAGAACAAAACAAAAAACGACAAAAAAAATTGGATACTGTATTCCAAATTAATCATCTTTCGATGATGATACCTAAATCAGTTCTAAATTTAACCACCTTATTTTTAAGTGACTCTGTTTATCCTGAACAGCTATTATTTGCTCATTTGATAAATGAAAACCAACCTTGTTTGTCAGCTTATTGTTGATGTCATGTGCAAGGGACACAATTCTAGCTGCATCTTTCTGACACCTGAAATAAAGCAACAAATGATTTATATACTGAAGCACATAATCACAAAACATCGACATTAATGCACTAGTGTCAAGTTGTCTCATCACACCAAATAAAATTACTGCAAGTTGAAACAATAAACACCTGTTCAATGGTAAATCAAATACCGGTATTCATGACTTATTGTATAGAAATGAATGCATGGGAATGGTAGCAACAAAAATAAAGATTGCTATGTGATTTAATAATAAATTAAAGCATACAAAGTTTTAAAGAGATTGGTAGACAATTAAGGGGAAAAATCTCTGGATAATATTAAAAAGCTGACAAGAACAAAGGGGAAGAATTCTGAACTATTAATGACCGACCGAAATGCTATTCATGCAGAAACAAAATCACATGATACAGTTTTCAAGCTTATTAAGTTTCAAAGAAGTTGCTTCAGAACTGAAGGAGGAGAAATCCTGACATTGCTAAAATGTGAAAAATAAATAAAAAATAGAAGGGAAATTACTGTTTCTATAAACCAAAAATCACAAAGACATTCAGGAAAACACACATGTAAACAGCAATAACTCTTTTTTAATTAAAACGCTGTTCAGGAAAACACAATTTTCTAACCTATTTATAAAGCCTATAAAAAGGTTGAAAGAAATCAGTTGAAAAGTTTTAATCAAGTTTGTCATCCCTAATTTAGTGAAGTGATTACCTGGAAAATAAAAAACAACCTGTCAGAAAGGACCCACCTTTGTTTGTGACCTGTATGGGTAAATTTAATCATCCTAATTACATTGTCAGTATACACATCAAAAAATGTAAAAGTTGACCTTTTGACATAGTGACCTTGAACCTTTGTCAGTTGACTACTGGTACAGTTGACCTTTTGACCCCTAACTTAATCCCATCCTGCATATTTTCTAATATTAGATATTGCAATACAATCAGTCAACCTTATCACAAGCCAAAATATGACAACAAAAGTCTATTTGTAGTAACAGTGACCTTTGTAGTTGACCTTTTGACCCCGAACATACTTCCACTCTGTATTACCTTACAAGCTAACATTTTATGAAATTTCAACGTAATCCATCAATTCTTTCTGAAATTACCATCTTGAAACTAAAATTTTTACAAAAAATATATATTTTTAGCTATAGTGACATTTAAGTTGAACATTCAACCCCACTTTCCATTGCCTCATAACCTAACATTAAATGAAGTTTCATTCAAATCCATCCATCTTTTCTCAAGTTATTTTCTGGAAGCCAGCACCGGGACGGATAGACAGACAGATGGACAGACAAACAGAAAGAAAGACAGACAGATGGGAGACAAACACTGTAGTCCCCTCTAATTTCACCAGCAAGGGACTAATAATAGAAGAGATCTTGAGGCAAGAATCATATTGTGTAACAAATAAGAGGCAGTAACTCATAAATACGACTCAATAAGAAATTCACAAAAACTCCATTCCATGCTATGGTGACTAAGCCTATTAAATATGAAAGAAATTTGTTCAAAATTGAGAGAGGGAATATCTGGACAAGTTTAATATGATAAAAAGAGCAAAGGACAATTACTTTTCTAAATAGAGATGAATCAAAACTACCATTTAGGAAAACAACTTCATGTCATGGTGATAAAACATCCAACAAAAGCTCGGTTGAAAACATCTCTGGACAAATAAAAGTTTACAACTGATGGATGGACAACATCATACCATATAAATCCTGTCAAAATAATTTTGACAGGCATGTAAAAATCCAATCTTGTCAGTGAGCCATTCTGTGTCATGAGCATCATAACACCTTCAACCAACCAGTGTTGTTATCCAATACATTTTACTTCCAGATACTTACCATACATTGGGCAGTTGGTCATTTTGTTCTTGGTGGTACTGATGTAGAGCCAGCATTGCAAGGTGTAAATTTGAGGGAGCCTGACAAATCAGAAAGTAGCAATCACTTTTACTAAAGTAGCAACTAATTCTGAATACAAGATCGTGTTTCTGGAAAAACAGTAACAGTCAATCATTTACTTCAAAGAAAAAACTTCTAGAGACCGCAGATTTTAGTAATATACCTCCAGGATTTCATAAATTTACAGAAACATATGATAAATGCTACATATTACCCTTACCTCTTGATCCAATTTCTTAAACCCAGAGAAATTCTGACTGAAATAAAGTGAGAGTTCGACTGTGAAAGGAAATAGGCATTCAGCTTGTTCCCAACAAGAGAAAAGACTTTTGTTTGCCCTGTTCTCACAAAAATTGGCTGTTTTGTCAGCATTTAAGGAGATTTTATACTCTGCTTTACCAACAGACACTTTTGTACCTCTTCTGGTGAAATAATATGTGTAAAGAGAGAATTGTTCTACCTGATCTGCACCCTTGATGGTTTGTCGAAATATCATTTTAATACTTCAGTAATAATCATACTATTCCTACTCTACTCTGGTAGATGTTTATCATGCTGAATGAAATGCATCAGCCTCAGAATTTAGATATTCATTATTTCAAATAATCCAAACATGATATAAAAGGAAATTAAATGTCTATGGGCAATAGGGGTGACTATTGAGGCCAAAAAGGCTCTCACGACAGTATATATTATCGTGATAGTCATGTGATTATTGCAATACTGTCATGAAAGTTTATTCACCTTCAAAATATGTTTTATTAACCCAGAAATGAAGGTCACCAACCACTCAAATGTATCAGAATGCTCAATTTAGCAAACATTACAGCAAAATAAAATGATATACAATTCTTATACAATCAAATATGTTGCAGTGTATTTCTTGCTAAACTTTGTTATATTTTCATATTATTTATTCTATAGATAAACATGATATTCTGTGATATTTGTTGTGAAACTCATACACACGCTGGATTCAAAACTATAAGATATTAAATTTATATCAGTCAAGTCTTAGTTTTACAATAAATTTTGCATAATTTTCTCTTCATTTTAAACTTGTTTTACATTTAAAAAAGTGATTATTAATTCAACAATGATATAACTATTTGGTTTTCACAGTAAGTTGGAAAAGCTGTGTTGAAAAAAAAATACATATATCTAGGCCTAGTAAAGTAGGATAATGTAGCTGGTTACCAAATGAAGGTGCCTGTACTTTCAAAAGGGGGAGTTTAATTGCGATCAGTTTTGTGACACTTTGTCATTAATTTTCATATAACCGAAATGCTGTCCTACCCCTGTTTTTCCTTTTTATTGAGAATGTTTTTAAAATGCTGCTAACTTCCATCTTGTTGTTTATACAAACTCTCATTAGTGTAAAAACTTCTGCTTAAAATTCTGTTTCCATTCTAAGAAGGCAATTGTCCCTGTCTTGTATTTAGCGATTTCCCCTATTGAGATCCTAAAGATGCTTTAATACATAAACCAAGGCTGTGTGGATGTTTATCAATAACTCGGAGAAAAATCTTCCTTTCAAGTAGCATCTTCGTTGGTTAAAAAAAGAATCAATCATTAACAAGCGATAGTGGAATAAATTACTATGGTATATAAAGACTTTAAAATATGCAATCGCCCTAAAGCTATCAAGAGCAAAGCTAATACAATAAATTGATAAGACATTACACCACCAATGGTTTACAAGAAAAAGAAGTCAGTTATGTTAATGAGTTAAGCCAATTCTTATACTGACTTGCCAATCAAAGTCAACATTAGTTTACCAGATAAATTACCTACAGAAATTTTGGAGAGATCTGGCGTCAGTAGGGTAGGATCCTTCAGCTGTGATTCCAGACTTTTCTATAAAATAGAGTTTACTGGATGTAAAATTCTTAATACCTGAATTGCGATAAAGTTCATATGAATAATCTGTAACATTGAGTTAAAGAAGCAAATAAATTTCTGCTCACACTAATTCAATTGTTCATTGCTATCATTATTAATCAATTAATTAATTACATACATTAAAGTAAATCTAAATTATTTAAATCTGCAGATACAGTTTGTAAATATAATTTCCTAATTTTCTATGTACAATTCACAAGTAAATTGATAAACAACTAATTCTATAAAGAAAATGGTAGAAAATATGAACTTAATATATGTCATAGATCATTGTAAGCAATCTAACACCTCCTCTGTTCAATAGAAATATCAGAGGGACATAACTTTATAAGCAGTGATAAAAAAGAAAACTAATTTGATTATGTACAAAACACTCTGACATCTTCAGATGCATGTAAAATTTGATATATGATTCAGTAGATGAGGTACACTTAGAGAAAGCAACACAGTAACAACAAAGACACTTACAAATGAGAATTTCTGAGGGATCCTGACCTGGGTGATGATGCCACCATGTTCATATGGAGTAAAGCTTTCTCCAGTAGTATCACAAATTGCAAAGGTTGACGGGGACAGAACTGATAATACAAGGACTACATGTTAAGCCAAAAGTGATATAATGGTTGAGAATTATTACTGATAATAATAAGGTGTAAATTTTCATTTTAATTCAAATATGGCTTCAATGACAGTCTCAAACCCAATCGCTAAAAGAATACATGGGTATTTAAATATAAGAAGCATTTAAATTTATAATTCTTTTGTATATGTTAGAAGCAAAATTTAATGTTAATCAAAACCACCATGTAAGATTTTGACTGTAGTTAAATTAGTATTCCTAACAATCAAGAATAGACCATATCCTTTTTCCTTCTTCAACAGTATCAAGATATTTGGTAGCCTACTAACAATATCTAGAAACCAACAGTTGAAAATATTGATACATTTACTCTATAATTGTGGATGTTCATTATCAAATAAAAAAATGCATTACAATTATTTTCCACCAGAAAAATGTACTGATGAAATATGGTTTGACAAATTGGACTGACCTTTGACCCTGCATGTCATTCCATTCAGTGCCGTCATTCCATTGAGTTCCCTGAATGCCACCATGTCACCTGTCTCCAGTCCATGAAATTTATCTTTCAGACATGTAACCACTCCAGGATTTTCCTGTTAATACAACATTAACATATATCAAGGAAACTGGGGAAATATATAACCTGATCCTAAGATACTGTAAATGTACTTAATTTGGCACTATCAAATTTAAGTACACTATTTGAGAAAAAATGGGATGATGACCTTGCAAATTCAGAATAATTGCTATGAAAAATACATAGAAACAACATTTAGAGCAATCATGTTTTTGCGTAATGTTTCATTGCATATGCACTAAAATAAGGTTACTGCAAAAATATGTATTTTTACTGTAAAATGTACTTGAAGCAACCTTTTGGTTCTTTCTACAATCCTGTTAGTTTGAGCAGCTGTACAAGAGATATGGTGATTGCTTTCTTGCATTTCTTGAGAATGACTTCCTAAACCTGCATCATCATCCAAATGCCTGCCAGGATTATTGTCTGATGAATAAGCACCTTGAAAAAAGAGGGATCACCCTCACTTAAGGACAAGAAAAGGGATTGTTTTCACTTGAGCATCAGAAGAGAGATTGCTCTCACTTGAGCACCAGAAAAGGAATTGCCCTCATTTGAGCACCAGAAGAGGGATTACTTTCGCTTGAGGATGTTCTCTGATTTCATGATGCAGATATGGAGTAGACAAAGTTATGAACATATCTGCATATAATAAATATGTGGCTGGACCATACATGAACTGTTCATTATACCTGTGCATCATATACATTGTGACGTGATCTTTGTTATAGAAACATCATACCTTTGTTATATTTTCTATAAATGTATCTCTAAGTTCTTCTCCATTGACATCCATCACTTCAAATTCATCCCCAAAATCACAGAATACACTGCTCACCAGTCCATACACGTCTGCACTAATAAACTACAAACAAAAACGGACATACAAAGCAGCAATCCCCAGAATATGGGAGATTGACTTTCATTTGTGAGCAATATACCTTCACAAATTCAGCAATCTGAAGAATATCTCGAAAATCAATCACTGTAATTTAACACATAGATAATGATCATTGATCTTCATATGAACATTCATTGTTTATTTACTTAACCCTCATTTCATCCTTAATCTATGTGTTCATTTCATACAGCAATAGCATGTTTTGTAAATCTATTGTTAATATCATTGTCAAGGACATTTTATTCACAAAAACATTCAATTGTAAGGAGTCTGTGTTTGGTGCATCAAACTTTCATATCATTGAGGTGTTTGAATTCAATGACTGTATCATCTGTTAAACTGGATAATTACAGTCAACCTTGTGGGTCTCTGACTCAAACATAACAGGTAGGCATATTACAGGACAATGAAATAGCATTTGGTAGGTAGTCTGAATGAACAACAATATATACTCACTTACCAGGCAAAGGCTATTTTTTTCTTTAATTGGTTGAATAAATATTATTATTATCTGTAATTTGTACATACTTGGATTGGAGGTGACTGGGTTCTACAGAGCTGGTTAATTCTTAGTTGCAGTTGTAGAGGCACCTCCGTTAGTATAATACACTGGAAAATAGAAATAGTCCCAAAATGTTCATTATGGTCAATAACAATGTCATAAATCTTTCTGATCAAATTCTGAATTATCATAGACTCTACTGGTGACAGTGGTATATCAGGTACTCAGCTAGGTGTTTAACTGGCAAAAATTTAATGAAAAAAAAAATATCTGCCAGTTTGCTATCATACTTACTTGATATTGTGTAAGGTAAGATAGATCAGTGTTGTTGTCCATCCCGGTGACCAGACTATTAATACTGACGTAAGGATTTAACTCTGCTAACCTCCCTTCACTAGCAGCAGCTCTATAACAAGTTTGTGAATGTACAGTAAATATATAGTCTCATTTAAAAATCTGGGAAAAAATCTAGACTTAAACTTCTGAGAAATAAAGCATAACAAAAAAATATCAAAAATATTCTGGTTTTGACATTAAGCAATCAACAAATTTAACATCATATTCAGGTTAAATTCTATTAAAGCCAGCATATCAGTGAAACTGATGAATAATCTCTGGAAAAAACTTTATTGAACACAAAAGTAAAATAGAAGGCAATAATTCTGCAATCTAGGTGTTTTGGGCCTTACATTTGTTATACTACATATCCTCTTCATCTTGCCAATGTATACACCACATTTTTTTATCCAAGCTTCAATGAAAGGAAAGTTATGCTCCTGACAAGATTTCAACAAAGGGTATTAACTGTGTACTTAAAGAGTTGCAGGCCCAGAATTTCAAACACTGTGTCTCCTGACCAATGATCCCTGCTAAACTGTGGGCACAGTTATGCTTCTGACATGAAAGGACGGTAATAAAGTCATATAAACAGACAAAACAGCAAATATATGCTCCCCTAAAAGTTTTCCTCAAGAAAAATAACAACAGCAAATCAAAGCTGGTGACTAACTTTCATTCATCTAGCAATGGACACATTTCTTGTTGACCAATAAAGTGTAAAGACACAGAATCACATAGAATGCATACCTACTTGTTCTTTCCCTGTACCACTTTATCGCCTGTGAGGAAGAACTGGACTCCAACATCAGTTACCTACCTATTCCATCCCTGTACCATATCATCCTCTGTGAGGAAGAATTGGACTCCAACATCAGATACCTACCTATTCCATCCCTGTACCATATCATCCTCTGTGAGGAAGAATTGGACTCCAACATCAGATACCTACCTGTTCCTTCCCTGTACTACATCATCCTCTGTGAGGAAGAATTGGACTCCAACATTAGTTACCTACCTGTTCCTTCCCTGTACCATATCATCCTCTGTGAGGAAGAATTGGACTCCAACATCAGATACCTACCTGTTCCTTCCCTGTACTACATCATCCTCTGTGAGGAAGAATTGGACTCCAACATCAGATACCTACCTATTCTATCCCTGTACCATATCATCCTCTGTGAGGAAGAATTGGACTCCAACATCAGATACCTACCTGTTCCTTCCCTGTACTACATCATCTTCTGTGAGGAAGAATTGGACTCCAACATTAGTTACCTACCTGTTCCTTCCCTGTACTACATCATCCTCTGTGAGGAAGAATTGGACTCCAACATTAGTTACCTACCTGTTCCTTCCCTGTACTACATCATCCTCTGTGAGGAAGAATTGGACTCCAACATTAGTTACCTACCTGTTCCTTCCCTGTACTACATCATCCTCTGTGAGGAAGAATTGGACTCCAACATTAGTTACCTACCTGTTCCTTCCCTGTACTACATCATCCTCTGTGAGGAAGAATTGGACTCCAACATTAGTTACCTACCTGTTCCTTCCCTGTACTACATCATCTTCTGTGAGGAAGAATTGGACTCCAACATTAGTTACCTACCTGTTCCTTCCCTGTACTACATCATCCTCTGTGAGGAAGAATTGGACTCCAACATCAGATACCTACCTGTTCCTTCCCTGTACTACATCATCCTCTGTGAGGAAGAATTGGACTCCAACATCAGATACCTACCTGTTCCTTCCCTGTACTACATCATCCTCTGTGAGGAAGAATTGGACTCCCAGATCACTTAAAGTAGCTGTCTTATCATCTTGTATAGTTAAGGACTGAAGAAAAAAAATTAGGATATATTTTATGATACATGTGATTTTTTGTTGTTGGTTATGGTTAACATGAAATCATTACAATAAATGTAAATGTACTTATTTTCCCTTCAAGTGATATTAAAAAAGTTTTTGAACGGTAGTAAAATTGGTATCGTTAAATTCAAAATGCTTAAACATTTCTTTCCATAATCATGCATATTTACCTTTATTCCAGCTAAAACAATATTCTTTGCTGAAACATATAACAGACGAAATTTCATGTAAAATTTATCAGCATTGTCATCGTCAATTTTATTTACATGCTCATTCTAGATATACTCACAATTCAAGAAAAAATAACTTTCAATATTATTGTTGACAGTTAAGGCTTTCAATTATTAAGATTCTTTTGTGAATGTGTCTTTATATACTTGAAATACATACCAATTTCTATTCCTAGACCTCCCATACCATAGACTAGCACAGAAGCATTAGCCATTCTCTTCATAGCATTGTCCCCAAGTACATAACGTTGTCGACTGTAAAACAGAAAATTATCAATATTTTGTTCTCTTTTTTTTAATGCCATCAATGAAGCACTATATGAGAAAAACAAAAGCAGTATTATTTAGATCTAGACATGCTTGTTAAAACAAATCAGATGTAGGACAAATAACCTTTAAAGAAATTACTCATTTACTTTCAAAATCACTACAGCTGACTAAGAAAATTACATTTGTTTGTAACTTTGTGACAAAATATTTGTAACTGAATTTAAAACTCACCTGTACAAAGAGTCATCGATCTCAACTTCTGCAGCCATGATGACCTCTAGTCGATATGTCTGAAATTTTAAATATTTTGTATCATCTTAATTTACAGGTGCGTATCGCTTACGATCACCATTTTGTAACACATTTCCAGACTACATTACAATTAACATGCATAGATATGTAAGGGGAAAAAATCAATATTTCGTTTAACACTGTGTACAAGATTAACAATGCAAATGGTTTTTGTGGCTTATCTATAGCGTTAACTACCGTCTTACACTCAGTTGAAAGGGTATGCTTCTTTGATTCAGTTGGTTGAGCATTAGATTATCACGCCAGAGACCAGTGTTTGATACCTGTTTGAGCACTTGATTGGAATGCGTTTTTAACCTCTGAAGAGTTTAATGAATCATCAAGCCAGGAACAACTGTTGTTCGTTTTGCCAGTTGCAGGGGAAGTCTTCTAGAACAATTTTTTTATCAGTTTCCAAGCGACTAACCGAACGTTTTAGTACAACTACGGTCAGATGTATACCAATATCAAACCCTACAGACGGTCTCTTTTAATCAACAATGGGGATTCAATGACATGAAACATTGTGAATTATATTTTCATATACAGACTATTCAATTCCAATTATAACTGCCTCCGTATTCTGAGTAAACAGAACAACTTCACTTTCCGTCCTATTTATAACAAGGTTTGGACCGAGAATCGACATGATCGCGAGGTATACGAAATTGGCTCTGGTGTTGACATTTGCAAGTCAAGTCAAGATGTTCACGGGGCGTGGTTCTGCACATCTGAGTAAAATATTGAAATCTCGTGACCTAGGTTACATACACATTGAGTTAATTTTGTTAAATGTGCTTACTTTCTTCTTTCCTTCTTCGGATTTCACCACTTAGTGGAAATTGAAGGGACGATGTGGTAACCAATCAAAATCATCCTTACAAAATGGAGATAATAAAACTCTGTACTAAAGCGGGCTATCAATCCGGCAAGATAACAGACAAAATAATTATCCATATATTCACTATAACTAAATTCATACGTTACTAATGTTTAGCATGAGAAAGAAACAACGAACAAATATCCCTACTCCAACCCCACATAGAGAAGAAAAAAGAAAACCACAATCGTCCGTTTCTACTGCGCGTCGAACCTTTCCTTATTCACCACGCATGCCCTTGGGTCCGTATCCCAAACAACTTCCGTGTTTGATTGTGTTCCTGTCAAAGTTGACTCAGACGTCTGCTGCAACAGGATTATGTCGAAGCCACGCCCTGTTCGCCCCCCTCCACCCATTCCTAAACCGGGTAAGGAATTCCTATACTCGTGATATCGCATAATCAACAGCTGACACAGCAAAGGAGAGACACCACACACAGTAAAGTCACGTCAACTTGTGTTTCACTTCCGCAACTTCCTCCTAGCTAGCCTCATCTTTTTTTTATTTCTGTTGGTTGAAGTTGTTATTTTTAAGAAGCAAGTCATTTGAGATCTCATTGCATTCACATGACGCACTTCAAATTAATTGTTAAAAAGCGCATTTTTGTATTGATCCCAAAATCCTTACGCCTTTGAAATAGCGAAGTGAATTACCGCGGTTCTAGAGCACTGGCAATATGTGCACATTATTATGTAGATATGTAAGCACAGGGTTTTCCATAATTTTGTTAGTAGTAGGCTGTGTAGTGAAAGTAGGAGGCTGGTGAAGCCAGCCGACCCGAGCCGCAACACGGAGAGGTGGGGTTGCCTGCCGTGTACGCGTAGTCGTGTACAGAACATTATTACGGAACTGGATTGGTGTAGGCGGCCAAATGATCGAAGTAGCCGGTCAAATTGGCCGGGGACTGGCTCTTATGGAAAACCCTGTAAGCAAATTACGTATATAAGGCAAATGTTAACAATTGAGCACACACAGGGTCATTATTAGAGTATTAACAAATCCAAATGTGTTTCATTCTTTTACTCTCAACGTTATTGTTTTCTTTTGATCCAGTCTTCCTTTCAGCTGGTGAAGCATTTAACAGAAGACTTGCATTGTCTTGACAATGAAGATAGCAGATGGGAAAAAAATTATTGTGACAGCCATGAATGGCACTCATCAGTATATTGTAGTAATATGTAATAATAATCAACAAACTTCAAAATTACAAAAGAATACATTTCAGATCTTGTAGACAATCTGCCTATGCTGATACAGGGAATTGTAGTAATTGTTGTTACAATGTGTGTTATTTTGTTTGCAGGTAGTGTTAAAGTTGTGAGGGCCTTATACCGTTATACTGCACAGCAGGTAAATTTCTCATATCAGTTGAGGGCCTTTTACCGTTATGATGCACAGCAATAAATTTCTCATGTATACCAGTTGAAATGTCCATAGAAGCAACCATTTCAGCTCAAATATGCAGACTAGAACTTGAAAAATTAAATTCGATGTCAATTTGCTTGCTTAACATTATTTTTTTAATAAGAAAGTTTGCTTATCCAGATATTATATTAATTTCAACAATGCTTCCAGACTCCAGTTTGTGTAGATTCACAGTCCAACTGTTGTCTAGACCTCTTATCCCACAGTTGTCTGGGTACCCAATCCTACATATACCCCTAATCCTGTATTTGTCCAAGCATCCAGGCTTACAGTTGTCCAAAAACCCATCCCAGTTATTCAAGCTTTCAGTTGTCAAGACATTTAATCTGCTTGATAGTAGTACCATCTTTATTCAGCATGTAACGTGGATACATGGCGTAAGCATACTTGAACACTTGAGCGGTAAAAAGCTACAAAGAGATAAAAATCAATGTAGGAACTACATATACACAAACTTGCAAATCAATAATGATGTAGGATCTACAAACCACTCAAAAATATGTAGGAACTACACGCCTTTCGCAAATATATATAGGAACTACATAACACACTCAATACTACAAAAGTATAGTCAAACTCGAGAAGGTGTAACCTTCAAAATAACCTTCGAATTGAATTGAAATGATTAACTGACAGAGAATGCAATATGAATGCATCTAAAATTAACAATGAAATAACACGACGATATAATCGAACTTCACTAAACTACAAGTCACACAAATTGCACACACCGTGATTTTAACACGTAATTCATTGGGGGTAAACAATATGTTAAAATAGAGAAAATATCACATTCTCTCTTATGAGATCGTAATACAAGTTGTATCGATCTGAGGACACATTAATAAATCAATATATTTCAAAAACCAATCACAAGAATGTGCAAATAGCGCGTTGAAAACATTATACATTTATATCACTAACGCTACCTAAAACGAAGGTGGAAAATGGTTTCAAAATTCATTAATATAAGCAAATTTACAAACTTACAAAGAAACATTTGGTAAGCGACAATAATATGGCAATATTGGGAGACAAAATACTTACACTGTGAGCCAGGGTAAATGCTCAAACAATATTTAAAGCACATTTTTGTGGAGCACAAAATTAAAGCAGACGATTGTGATTTAGCGCGAGACAACAATACAAAAGAGTTCAATCAAGGGCGATAACTCCCGCAGCAAAGGCAGCACAACATTAATTCCTAAAGTTTTCCAGGCAGTCAGTCAAACAATTGCCCAGAAACCAGGTCACACAGTTGTCCAGACATGAAGTCTTACTGTTGTCCAGGCATACAGCCTCACAGTTTGTCAATACACCAAGTGCCATAGTTGTCCAGACATGAAGTCCAACATTTGCCCACTCACTTAATCTCACAGTTGTCTAGATACCCAGTTCCACAGTTGTTCAGACACAAAGTCCTAAAATGGTCCAGACACACAGTCATACAGTTGTGAATACACTTCATGCCACAGTTGTCCAGACACCCAGCTCAACACTTGTTCATTCACAAAGTATTGCAGTTGTCCAGACACTCAGTCCCATAGTTGTATATAAACTCCATCCCACAGCTGTTGAGGTGACCTGTCCCACAATTGTCCAGATATTCAGGACCACAGTCATCCAAACTTTTATTCCCACAGTTGTCCAGACACAAAGCTCCACAGTTGTCCACTCACTCAATCCCACAGTTGTCTTGACACTCGGCCCCATATTTGTCTAGACACTCCATCCCACAGTTGTTGAGATGATCAGTCCCACAATTATCCAGACACTCAGTACCACAGTTGTCCAAACATTTAGTCCCACAGTTGTTAATTACTCTGGTCGTAATGAGACACTCAATCCCACAGTTGTTAAGACAATCACTCCCAGACTTGGTTAGACAACAGGTTACACAGTTTAAAATTTTGTTTTTGGTATTAGGCTGATGAGCTGTCATTTGATGAAGGAGACACACTGTACATCATGGACCAATCCAATCCTGATTGGTGGAAAGGAAAGTGTGATAGTGTGGAAGGGCTAATACCATCAAATTATGGTACGTATCATTCAGATTTATAAGTCATTAGAGTACCATAAAGAGAGGAATCTCTGGTACATCAGAATGGGTACGAGATGAAACAGAGTACCTAGGAAGTAGACACTTTAAACTACAATATATACTGAACTCAGTCAACAGACCAAAGAACGTTAATGACTTTGTTGTACATGTATATGGTTTCTATGCAAGTACATACCCTGTAATTACAAAACATATCTATCGCTACTAGTGTTGTGAATAGGAAGAAAAACTTCAATCAGTAACAGATTGAACTTTCTTGAAGTGTTAGCAACTGTAGGCAGAAAAGCTACGTTTTGGTTGAACTATTTTAGACATAGTAATGTTTATGCATATCATTAGTATTAAATAGATTTGAGATCCTAATTTTAAAAAACTTAAACCATTTATATCTGAAACATTAAGCTGTTGATTTTTGCAGATTGTGTATTTAATTTCAATTTAGTTTCATAGAAATCCATGAGAGAGCATTGTCTCTTCATTGTTACAGAAGTTACATCATAGTTAGAAGATCAACAGGACATAGAAGAAAAAAATTGCCTAATTTTACCAATTAATCAATTTTTCAATTTCTTTGTTATTTAATTGCATGTTAAGTTTATTGTTGATTGTGTTTGATATCTTCTACAGTGGAAAGTAACACAGAGTCTATAGATCATCCATTACATGAGGCAGCCAAGAGGGGAAATATTGATTTCCTTAAGGAATGCATAGCTAACGAGGTCAGTCCATAATCTGTTCAGCCATCAGTAAGTTTGGCCGGCCAGCAAGTTCATCACATCATATTATCAACCAAGTTTAATTTCATGACATAGTCACTATATTCTTAGATTATGTCAACATTTTGGAATACTGAAACTTTAGATATATAGTGCACAGTACATGTAAATAGTTTGGAATGGTAATGAGTTGGAAAAATGGAACACTTCACACATGTGCTTTCAATTTTACTGCCTGTTATCTTGCATGCTCCAGTGACTTATAATTTCAATATATAGAATCAGCATGCTTATATAAAATAAAACACCTGCAAGTACAAGTAAGTAGTATTGTACTTACATATGTTAAATACAGCAATGACTTTTTTTTTATAACTCAAAGACAGTTTAAACATTGATACTTATTTAACTCTATGCAGGGTATACAAACACAATTTCTGTCACAATCTCCCAGAAATGATCCACGGGGATTCCTAGGAGTATAATTGACATACATGTGACAATGATATATAGCTCTTTATTAATGTGTGTTTCTTTCATTGCATGTAAATTTACATTTACTGTCCCTGTATAACTATAGGTATCAGTAAATGGTCTAGACAAGGCAGGATCCACACCTGTGCACTGGGCAGCTCATGGAGGTCACATGGACTGTCTACAGGAGCTCCTTCAAGTTAAAAAATGTGAAGTGAATGTACAGGTACATTGTTTTATGATAAATTATAAGTAACTCAATATGTTAGTTAATGTGTTACTTTGTATCTCTTCTTGTAAGTAAATGTGTTACTTTGTATCTCTTCTTGTAAGTAAATGTGTTACTTTGTATCTCTTCTTGTAAGTAAATGTGTTACTTTGTATCTCTTCTTGTAAGTAAATGTGTTACTTGATATCTTTCCCTGTTAGTAAATATGTTACTTGATATCTCTCCCTGTTAGTAAATGTGTTACTTGATATCTTTCCGTGTTAGTAAATGTGTTACTTGATATCTCTCCCTGTTAGTAAATGTGTTACTTGATATCTTTCCCTGTTAGTAAATGTGTTACTTGGTATCTCTTCTTGTAAGTAAATGTGTCATTTGATATCTTTCCCTGTTAGTAAATATGTTACTTGATATCTCTCCCTGTTAGTAAATGTGTTACTTGATATCTTTCCCTGTTAGTAAATGTGTTACTCGGTATCTCTTCTTGTAAGTAAATGTGTCATTTGATATCTTTCCCTGTTAGTAAATGTGTTACTTGATATCTCTTCCTATTAGTAAATATGTTACTTGATATCTCTCCCTGTTAGTAAATGTGTTACTTGATATCTCTTCCTATTAGTAAATATGTTACTTGATATCTCTCCCTGTTAGTAAATGTGTTACTTGATATCTCTCCCTGTTAGTAAATGTGAAACTTGATATCTCTTCCTGTTAGTAAATGTTTTACGTGATATCTCTCCCTGTTATTAAATGTGTTACTTGCTATCTCTCCCTGTTAGTAAATGTGTTACTTGATATCTCTTCCTGTTAGTAAATGTTAAACTTGATATCTCTCCCTGTTAGTAAATATGTTACTTGATATCTCTTCCTGTTAGTAAATGTTAAACTTGATATCTCTCCCTGTTAGTAAATGTGTTACTTGTTACTTGATATCTCTCCCTGTTAGTAAATATGTTACTTGATATCTCTTCCTGTTAGTAAATGTTAAACTTGATATCTCTCCCTGTTAGTAAATGTGTTACTTGTTACTTGATATCTCTCCCTGTTAGTAAATATGTTACTTGATATCTCTCCCTATTAGTAAATGTGTTACTTGATATATCTCCCTGTTAGTAAATATGTTACTTGATATCTCTTCCTGTTAGTAAATGTGTTACTTGGTATCTATTCTTGCAAGTAAATGTGTCATTTGATATCTCTCCCTGTTAGTAAATGTGTTACTTGATATCTCTTCCTGTTAGTAAATGTGTTACTTGATATCTCTCCCTGTTAGTAAATGTGTTACTTGATATCTCTTCCTGTTAGTAAATGTGTTACTTGATATCTCTCCCTGTAAGGAAAGGTGTTCTGTGTGTGCCTGTTATGAGTTGATGCTTGAGGTGTTTACAAGTTTTGATATATTAAGATACCAGTCTGTTGGCTGTTTAAGATGATGATTATTTATTCTGCAATAAACCAAAGTCTGGTAGTAAGCTCATTGATGTCTATTACTGTTCAGTAAAATTTTTCACAGATGCTATTTCATTGATGTACAGAAACCTCACCCCCTGCTATGATTCAATGGTTATGTGTTAGTACTCTGGGCATATTATAGGATATAGACAATAATTTTATACATCTTTATAAAATATAAATCCTGTACATGAGTTATCTTTCATGTTTGTTCTTGTTGGGTACTATTTCAGTGAGAAAGAAGGTGAATTTATTTTCATGTCAAGTGAAGTGTATTTTCTTTACTTCCATTAAAGCTGTGTACATGTCTTTGTCCTCAGAACAAACTTGGCGACACAGCTTTACATTCAGCAGCCTGGAAAGGTCACTCGGAGGCAATCAAAATGTTGTTAGAGAAAGGTAAGTCTCAAGGTTAGAAAGTCACAGTCTTAGTCAAACTGATGTTAGAGGAAATTAAGTCTTAAGGTCAAAAGGTCACAAAGACTCAGTCAAACTGATATTAGAGGAAATTAAGTCTTCAGATCAAAAAGTCACACAAACAGAGTCAAACTGATGTTAGAGAAAAGTAAGTCTCAGGGTCATAAAATCACAGACACAGTCAAACTGTTGTTAGAGAAAAGTAAGTCTCTGGGCCAAAACATCACAGACACAGTCAAACTGTTGTTAGAGAAAAGTAAGTCTCCGGGCCAAAACATCACAGACACAGTCAAACTGTTGTTAGAGAAAAGTAAGTCTCAAGGTCAAAACATCACAGACACAGTCAAACTGTTGTTAGAGAAAAGTAAGTCTCAAGGTCAAAACATCACAGACACAGTCAAACTGTTGTTAGAGAAAAGTAAGTCTCAAGGTCAAAACATCACGGACACAGTCAAACTGTTGTTAGAGAAAAGTAAGTCTCAAGGTCAAAAATCACAGACACAGTCAAACTGTTGTTAGAGAAAAGTAAGTCTCAAGGTCAAAACATCACAGACACAGTCAAACTGTTGTTAGAGAAAAGTAAGTCTCAAGGTCAAAACATCACAGACACAGTCAAACTGTTGTTAGAGAAAAGTAAGTCTCAAGGTCAAAAATCACAGACACAGTCAAACTGTTGTTAGAGAAAAGTAAGTCTCAAGGTCAAAACATCACAGACACAGTCAAACTGTTGTTAGAGAAAAGTAAGTCTCAAGGTCAAAAAGATCACATAGGCAATCAAACTGTTTTGTTAGAGGTACTCGAAAGGTCAAAAAGGTCACACAGACGCAGTTAAACTCACAAATTCAAAGGGAAATTTGATTTGCATGGTCTGGCTTACGATATATTTCAATGTGATGTAGCGTTATTTAAGTCTCTTAGAAAATGAAGAATAAAAATTCATAAAAAGTTCAGATGAAGTTTCATGACATCATTACAAAAAAACATGATTGACTGATGTGCATGTCTAAATCTTCTGTGTCCTAACATTGAATTGTGGGATATTGTGACTGAGTGTGGTGTTAATTTTTCTATTATATTTCAGGTGCTCAAGCTAATATAAGAAACAATGATAACAAATTACCCTATGACCTGTCTAAAGATGCTGCATGTTCAGCAGCACTGAAACAAGCAAGTAAGTATTCCAAAACTTTTCATGGTTAATCATGTTACCCAAGCATTACAACTCAACAAGCTTCGGTCAAAAATTTTCGTGGCTGTATGTGTTACACAAGCATTGCATCAAGTTTTGGTCGACAGTTTCATGGATGTTTGTGTTACCCAACGTTTCAACAAGTTTTGGTCAAAAGTTTTCGTGGCTGTATGTGTTACACAAGCATTGCATCAAGTTTTGGTCAAAAGTTTTCGTGGCTGTATGTGTTACACAAGCATTGCATCAACTTTTGGTCAAAAGTTTTTGTGGCTGTATGTGTTACACAAGCATTGCATCAACTTTTGGTCAAAAGTTTTTGTGGCTGTATGTGTTACACAAGCATTGCATCAACTTTGCATCAAGTTTTGGTCGACAGTTTCATGGATGTTTGTGTTACCCAACGTTTCAACAAGTTTTGGTCAAAAGTTTTCGTGGCTGTATGTGTTACACAAGTATTGCATCAAGTTTTGGTCAAAAGTTTTCGTGGCTGTATGTGTTACACAAGCATTGCATCAAGTTTTGGTCAAAAGTTCTCATGGATAGTCATGCATTGCAGCAAGTTGCAGTCAAAGCTATTCCTGTTCATTATAAAAATCATTGCAAAATAATGGCACAAGTACCAGTTAGAATTTAAGTCTTTTTAAAAAGTTTTCATTCATATTCACATCAGCTATAAAAAAAGTACCACAGAAATTATAATCTGGACCATTTGAAATTTCACCAGTCTGTATCCTTTTTTTCCAGTGATGCCGCGTACGTTATCAACAGATTACGGAGATGAAGGGGATTCAGATTGATTCTGCTAAATAAATCACATTGACTTCAACAAGAAATCTGAACTGATGGAGGTGTCTCCACCAACAGGGGCCTAGGTTACAGATTTTAAACAAATGTCCACTATTATGGTCTTTCTTTCAGAAGGTACCAAAATAAAGTAGATTTTTATAACCAATCTCCAACAGTGGTTTGTCCAGCACTGCCAGAGTGAGGAAGTCTCACACACCACTGGATATGTTGTGACTAATCACTACTCTACTATAGGTCTTTTATTTGACACAATAGGAGACAACCATTCATACTATACTATTTTTATGTTTGATATTTAATGCTGTGATAAAATTATTATAGAGTACTTGTGAATATAGCGGCCAGTTGTACTCAAATCTTGGACTGTACCAAATGTTATGTTAATAATATACATTTAAAAAACATCTTCTCAATAACCAAGAGTCCTAGAGTCAGCATATTTGGCCAGAGAATGCTGGGATTAAACTTTATTATGTTCAAATAAATGACTTTGACTTAGCTTTTTATGTCAAAACCTTTCAAAAACTTATGAATAACAAATGGTGGTCATGAAGGGATGAAATGGCTGTCTAATTTGTTTGCATAAATGACTCTGAAAGACATCCGAAGTCATTGGGATCAGCAATGTTTAAACTATGACTGACCAGGAGAGTTGTGGTCAGCTGGTTTGACCAGCAGTAAAGTGGTAAAATGAAATGTTGTAATTACATGAAATCTTTAAGTTAAGCTTCTGAAAATAATAAGGTTTAATGACACATTTTCTTTACTGATGAGTATAGCTTTCCATACTTTTTAAGTTCACAGTGGATGAATAATAAGTGTCTAAGTACAAGCCCTTTTGGCCTCTTGATACTGTAAAATCATTCATTTTTGTGGGCATATATCTTTGATGAATTCATGGCCACTGTAGATCCGTGAATTCTTTTGTCAAGGAAATGATAAAACAGATTAAAGTTTGATATGGATCATAGTATTAGTAGATAGTGTGAGTACAGTTAATCCATGAAAACAAGTACCATTGAAAAGGTAATTGTTTTGAAAACCACAAAATTTGAGCTCCAAGGAAAAACATCTTTCCTAGTACAGTTTAGATTGTGTTGAGGATTTTATTACCAACACAGACTTTTAGTGTTTAAGGAGTTTACAAAGATTTATTTTTTGACTAATTCATTTTCTCGTAGTTGGAGGTGTACATATCTCATACCTTGTGGCAATGTCAGATCTGTTATTGACAAAATGTTTCACTGCTATTTTTGTTAAAAATTTATACATTTGTAATCAATAAAGAGTATTTCACAAAAGTCCAATTGATCTCTCAGAAAAATTTTTAAGCCAACATAAGGTGGTGGGTTTCCAAATTGCCTTTTATTTTTAGTGAGTTTATCTGTCTGTGAACAACTAGATACAGTTATTTCTTTGTCTCAGGAAGATTGTTTTCAAATTAGGAACACGTAGACATATTAGGACAGGTTTACTGCTTCAGGTTATGGGCAGTAGGAGCAACATGGCTAGTAAAAAAGGTCATGAGGTCAAATTTAGGGATTTACATAAGGTGACAACCACTGCACTTAAGTCAATTAAGCAATTGTGGTGTATTGTCAGGCAGCAGATGTCAAGGTCAAATGAATCATTTTCTCAGGTATAGAAGTACCATTTTTTATAGTATGGACTGATTGTAGTAGATTAGATGTGTTGTCAACCATGATGACAATGGTTCTGACTATGTTTATAGGTGTTTGCCTTTCCTTGTTGAAAAGATTTCTAACTGCTATGATACCATGGTTACCAGTACATATCAAACAGTGCCTTCAGTGTGTTTTCAATGAGTACTTTAAATCACTTATGTTTTTCGTAGGATTTATTTTTTTATGTTAATATGCGGGGAGAATCAATGGTGAATGTAAATCCCTTGCAATTTATTGATAGGAAAATAACTCAGAATGCATCCATCTTGATTTAAGTTATGATGTTGAGCCTTAAAGATTCTTTGTCTTAAATAGCTCATCACTCGCAAATGTAAAGTCATTTATGGATCATTGTTTGCAAAATAATGTATTTGGGAATATGTCTGAAGAGGCAAGTTCTCTAAATAAAGTATACGTTAAATCTAAGTGATTTTCAGTAATCAATTCACATGTATTTAAACCAGGTACACAAAGACTTAAGTTCTTACTTCGAGGAAAGTATATAAATATATATTTACAAGAAAAGTAGTAATAAGGATGTTAAATTTTAGAACTTGTTTTGATATTATTGGATGTTAGTTGTTATATATTTATAACATTGAGTGTGACATGTTTTAAATGTCTTGTTAGGAATTTTTGGAGAGAAATTTAGCAGCAAAATTATTGAAGTTGTGTTTCTTCGTAGTGAAACTAGTGCATCTTTATTGGAATTCATTATTTTGACAAACATCATAATATAAAACATGAGATTGCTTAATAGTGTGAAGAAGAACCCAGTTTGATGTGTTATTACAGAGACCAGAACATATTAAAGACCTTTGAATGGATTTTTTTTTTTCCGTTTGAACTGATTTTTTTAACATAGGTGTTTGGGACAGGGAAGGGGTTTGGGGTACTGAGAAAAAGTTTTGTGTGATGGTGTTAATCTCTCAAAATGTCAAATAGATCACCATATACAATGTATATGCACTTCAGAAAAAAACAGTCACCTGAAGTATGATAGCATTATAAAAAGACAGAAGACATTTTATGCCATGCAGTGACAACAGTAAATGTGACAGGTTCATAGCAGGTTAGATGTCATTACAGGTAAATCATGATAACACAAATTTGTGGCATTATGTAGTCACATGTTAACTAGAACATTATATACATCAATACAGCTTAAATTTAGTTTACAATTGAGGATATCACTATATAGTTAATATAAATAAAATATGATATAATCAAGTCATGTACAAACATATTTTTATTGATCAACTGTATTAGTTATAATACACATGAAATTCTTGATAAATTAATATATTTCTGCTTAATGAATATGATGAATAAATTTTTTTTTAAACGATTGGTCTTTTTTATAATGTGTGGTTAGTCTTCATCAAAGACTATAAGATTTGACTATATACATACTGACGTGTATTCTACTATACTGTGTCTTCCCATGGACATCATGTGTTATGGTGTTGAAGTAATTGTACACTTTGTAACTAGAATAATTCTGTAGAGGAGACATTTTTGTCATGTAGCCAGAAGCACAATTGTTTAGTTCACCAGAGATGTAAAATCAGTGGCAAAGCAAATGATTTTTAGGAGTGTATGCTTTCAAGAGAGGGTCCAGGGGTGAAGCCCCAGTGGGGCGCAATGGAATTTGAGTGTATGCTTAAGCATACAAGCATACGTTATTGCTATGCCACTGAAAACATACTTTGTTAAGATTTCGTAAAGTTTGCTCAAATGTAGCTGAAGATAACCAACAAATCAAACTACATTATGTAGTTAAAATTCTTCAGTCAAAAGAGTTAAATTGAGCAAGGTATGATGTCGTTTAAACTTAACTAAAACATTGATGATTCATTTGATCCAAGAGTGATGATATGACATTGTCCTAATACCCGTTCATTAGTCTAAAACTATTCAGATCTCAACCAAATAATTAAATGAATAAGAGACATTTAAATTTCAATCAAGGTGTGTGGAGTTATCTCCCTTCAACAGGCATTAAAGCACCAACATTCACTAAAAGAGTGAAGATAAAAATTTACATCGATATAGTTTAAATCAACTAATCTAAAAAAACAGTTCACAATATGACATTATGTATTGGTGATGATGTAAAAGCTGTTTATATTCACTTTTTATTGACATGCCTCTATTTTTGTTTTTACTATAAACACCTAAACACCCTATTCAGACGGCACAGTGAGCCCTCGAATGACTGTACACTTGCATTCTACCTGTGATATAACTTCACAAAAGCATGCAGCATGTGCATCATTGCACTTTACCTGTACACACACCTACTACCCCGGTACAATTGAGTATGTAAATTGGTCTCGTTTTCTTTTTAGACTGCCTTCTGAACTCTGTATAATATGAGTTTGTATTATAAGTGGGAACCACATTTATTTTTCATTTGTTTCAATAACTCTGTAAAGTGTTTCTTGATAGATACCATTCAGCAAAAATATTGATTCCTTCAGCTTTGTAAAATCCAGTCTTTGCAACCGATTTACATGGACCTTGAAATCAGATTGGTAGAAGAGAATATTGCGATATCCACATATCCACTTAATTAAAAAAAAAGTACTGATATTTTGCAAATACAAACATTGACTAAAATGCAGCTGCTAAAGCATGTTCCCCTCTTTACTCTCTAAATCTTTTATAAACACCAGGGAGTTAGACAGCTAAGAAACAATAATGCATAACTTCTTAATACAGGTTAACTTTTAATTATGATAATGATAAATAGCAAACTTTGAATACTTCATCATCTTTTATTTATAAATTTCTGATAAATTTGTTCTATCGTAAGCTTTCTTTACATGACACCCTTGGTACGAAGTAATAATTATACACAATTGAAATAAAAGTTGGTGGCATAATCTGACTTAGATATCGTTAACATGGCAGAACAATATCAGGGGAGACAACCATGAGGTAACTACAATGATGTCTAGCTCATACCATAGACATCTAGCTATGGAACACCTCTGCTAACATGGCAGAACAATATCAAGGTGTTCTGGGGAGACAACCATGAGGTAACTACAATGATGTCTAGCTCATACCATGGGGGAGACAACCACACAGACATCTAGATCAAATCAGGACAGAATACCGCATGTTGTTGAGTTTACATCAAGAGAGATAACCACACTGACATTAAGCTTATGGGGAGGGGATGATAACCAAAATGATGTCCAACTCATATCAGATGAGATAATCACATAGCTATTTAGCTCATGCCAGGGGAGATAACCACAATGATGTCTGACTCATATAAGGTGAAACCACCACACTGATATTAAGCTTAAATTGGGGGAGATAACCACATTGATGTTAACCTCATATCAGGAATGACAACCAAACTGATGTCAAGATCATAACATGGGAGACGACTTAACTGATGCCTACCTTATGTTGGGAGAGGCAACCACAGCCTAATGGTTATATCAGAACATAAGGACTCGAGTTCAATTGAATCTTATCAGTTTTCCCCTTATACAAAATCATCAGGTGATTAAATAGCAATTACAAAGAATTAGGTCTAGTCTGCGCTATTATCTCCGAGAATGACCAAGCTTAACGTGAGTGAAGGATGCACACTACAGATGGTACAGACAAAAAACAACCACAGTGAATATCATTGGTTATACAGTAAGAGCCTTCTAAAAGGAGCCTGTTCAACACACGTAAACATTTGCCAACAAATTTCTTACAACTATAAACATAATGGAATATATTAAATAACGAAACTGGCAAACAACAAAGAAATACAATTATAAAATAACAATCTGATAGTGTTTTCATGGCAAACATATATATTGCCAATAAACTATCTTTATTAACAAGCCAAGAGATTGGCAAAAAATGTATTGTACTGAACATATAAATGATAAATATCACTAACAATACTAAAATAATTGTTCTTCACTTATACTAAAGGACATGCACATATAACAAATTCTGTCTTGTTCTGAAGGAAACTATTGCCTGTGTTGAGATTGAGGAGGAGCAGTTATTACCTGGGATTTACTGCTTAACTTGAGGACAATAAAATCATTCATCACTGTGTAATATAGACAATCCTACCATAGAGACATCTCCAAATTCCTTTAGGTTACCATGGAGACATTTTCAAATACACCTACGTAACTTCTCTGATATCTCTAAAATACAATTAATTTACCATGGGTATATCTCAAAATTCATCTAGATTACCACGGTGACAAGTCCAAATTCACCCAGGTAACTATGGCGACATCTCTAAATCCACTCAGGTGACCACATAGATATCTGCAGATTCATCTAGGGTACCATGGTGATGCCTCCAAATTCACCTAATTTACATTTGCAAACATACTGCTGATAATATCATTCTGGACACTTAAATTTTAAAAAAAAAAAAAAAACACTTGAACTAGAACGTATTTGATCTTGACACTATGGGCCAGGTGTGTCATACATTTAATTGACATTGATAACATTGGCTAGTTGGACTGTTTATCTAGGCATTATGGGTCAGGTGAGCTACATTTTCCAAGCATATTTCATGAAAATAAGATTTTATCTATTAAGTTTAAACAAACTAGAAATTATGGAATGGTTATGTACAAACTTATCTGCAACGCCCTATAATGTTGAGAGGATTCTAACATTCAGGATATTCTCGCAACAAAAGTGAATACACACAAAAATCAACAAATCAAAACCAATTTAAAATATAAATATAAGTGAATGAGTATATATTCTACATTAAAATAATTAACAATATAAATGATATGGTCAACAATGATCAGCAGGGGTGTCCGTTAATCAAATTAGTTTAGTTCTATTTATAATAGAGAGCCCCAGGTATGTGGGAGGAAGTTGGGAGGTCAGAGGTGGTTTGGAGCAAGAAAGTGGAAAGAATTGAGAAGGGCCCAGAACTTAAGTATTTACCATGTACAACCAGTACTGTCAATGTTGATAATATGTTTGACTAACAAAAAAAAAAAAGATTTAACACAGAAAAAAGACAAACAAAATCCCTATTCATTTGTTCAAGTTTCTCTTTTCTTTTTTCTTCCTTGTTCTTGTGATCAGTTTAAAATGAAGAAGAAAAAGTGAGTTCTGGCTCCCACCACCTCCTTCCAGTCACCATTCTCCGTACTTACAATCCTGGGCTCCAGAGACATGGTAATCTCAACAACAGTGTATTTTCTATTAAATAACAACTTACCATTTCATATATAAAATACATCAGTACTTCAATATTCATTTGTATTGCATTGCCCCTATATATAGATTAGAAACCCTGTATCATCACCTTTAACCCTAATAAACAGGATTTTACCACCACCTAATCACATTTGTCAGTCAATAAGCTCATGCTCGGTAATAAACCCTCCCATCACTTTAACTCTTCATAATGATAAAAAAACAGTCCTGTAATAAGTCCATCCCTGACTTTAAGGAATATCAAGTTTATTGCAGGATAAATACAGTATTTTCACACATATCAGGCTTACTGATCATGAAATATACTGTCACTTTAAACAGAGGTTTTCTGGTGTCAGTTATTGCCATAAGATTTATATCTAATTTCAATACATAATAGGGACTGTATTTATCATCATTAGGATCAGCAGATTTCCAGTCCAATTTACTGACCTCATATTTCTAGATTGGTAAAACTATAAGAGTTTTAACACTCAAGATGTTTTTGTGTCAAACAGAGTGAAATGTTTAGTGTGAAACCATAAAAAGGCCTGATGAATCTGATCACGAGACTGTTACATTGTAAAGAATTTATCTATTACAGATATATACAATATGAGTTCGGAGCATATAATAATTACTTTGTTGTAAATAATGACCAATAGCTGATCTGGCTATATAAATACAAGTCATATTGACCCATTATCAACTGCAGTCTTACTCAATGAAGTCATTCATCCAAACAGTCAATCCATGTAACTATATAATAATGTAGATTTAAAACTCACATCTCAATTAAACTATAAAATGTTACAAGGTCAACTGTTTATTTTTTTGCACATAATAACTCCTATATAATACCTTGAAGTCAGCCCAATGAATTAAATTTCCTGGTTATGTGGACAAACACTCTAGTCAATTATCATTAAGGAGTTATCTATATACAGTGTGTAGTATGTATACAGTTGGGTCAGGTGTGTCTCAGTGAATTTGTCCAAATTTTCTGATCCTTCATCAGCACGTTTACACAATAATAATGAGGAGAATACATTAGTAATTCTGTTCCTAACTGACATTCTACAAATACTGTGGAATTTAGCGAGTTTTTTATAAACAGGCAAGTTTAGTTACACAGGATAACAGGATACACAGGATCACGGTTAAACAATACAGAGATGTCTGCAGGAAAATTGAGAGTAGGCAACACTTGTTAAAATTTGATAGAAACTTATATTAAAACTTTCTTGATATTTCTGTTTTAAATAAAATTAGATGGATATTCTTTTTAATTTCTTTTATGATCTTATATATTTTCTCTTCGTGATCTTGTTAGAATTTAATTTGTTTACTGTTAGTCTCATTAACAAAGAAACTGAATCTGCCAACACATACTGACTGTCAGTATAGATGATATGTTACACAAAGTACAATCCTATCTCTAATTTCTGTACCGTAAATGTGTATATAAATATATATAGAAAACCTGTGATATTGTCAGATGGTTTAAAAAACCAATTATATTGCCTGACAGGAAACTCAACCTGGTGTTTTAAAACTGGGGCAAGATTCATATTTCCTACTAGTGGAAATCAACATTTCATTGACAGAACAAAGCTGATATCTAATTTAAAAGTATAATGCTTTCCTGTAAACATTACAATTTATTGTTAGATTGGACTATAACATATTGAACATTATAATCATGGAATCATCTCAATATGGTATTCATGTAACATTAGTAGAACTTAACACTCCTTATTTATCAATCATATTTTAAACCGAAATCGAAAATGAAAGGAGGAAGTTTTCCAAATTCTGAACAAATATGTCACTGACCCTATCACTATGGACACCTATGAAAGGTCAAGTATTTTCCAGACCTAAAACTATGATATCTCACACCATTGTGATGTCACAATATTCACAGACCCACCCATATCAATGCCTTTAAACCAACTCCTCTGAAGTGATGTAGATTTTCTGAGTAAACTAAACATACCTGAAGTCCTAAATAAATCCCCATTATGATACCATATTTCAGTCTTTAACATTTTACCAATTTCTTTAAGATTCTGAAGTTATTCTTATCATTTTGACCTCAATTTCAATTAATGAAATAAAGATAATTCGCTATATCAGGCAATGATTGATTTGATATCAATGAAGATATGAGAAAATTAATCAATTTGAAGTAAGAACTGAACGCTGACTAGAGACATGAGACATCATCAAACTAGACCATACAGGGACATCTAATATAAGATGGAATCATGACACTGTAAAAAACAGTTTAAAAAATCATTCACCTACATCATTAATACATTCTTTACTTTCACATTCATCTTTATACAAAAAGGTAATATTTCATCTTCAATTCCAACAAATGGAAATTGCAATCTGTTTATAATTTTGAAAAACAAGAGGCTTAGCGGCCTTAACCGTCATATGAGGTAAGCAATATTGAATATATATAGGTTTTAGGGTAAGTAGCTTTCAATTGTAATGGTAAAGGATTGGAACATTGATGATAGTAACACTGAAGTGATATGTTTTAAGCCCTTTGGCGTCAGCCAGTGTCAATATATGCATACCATCAAAACTCATTTTATACTAATAATTCTTACCAAGTTATTTCCTATGGAAAACAAACAACACTATGCTCAAAAATTTTCCTATAAAAACTATAGTAAGGATCATGCAAAATTCCACTGAAATTGGTTCCGAGCTTTTTGAGAAGAATTCCAAACAGAGTTTATGGACACATTATGTTGGACAAAAGGCTATAGCAAAAGGGTGCCATGATACTCTTTGTCAGGTGACCTTAAAAAAGATGAAAATCTGCATTTGACCATCATCAAACAACATTTGTGATGTGAACTGTTTGCTTAAGGTTTTTTTTAAGTGTATGTCCAGTGTCATACAAATCAAAGTCCTTCCTACCAAAGTATTCCACATTAAAAAGAGATATCTTGATGAAATATATTACAGACTGTTGTTCTGTATCAAAGTATTTGAAAACGAAATCTATCACCTAGCATCCTACACATAAACAATTTGACACTTTACCAAATCTGCACAGCATCAAAATTATCCAACTTTGTGATGTGTTCTGTGGTAAATAGGTGTGTTTTGCTGTCATGGGAATCAATCTATGTCAAGAAAAACTTTTATTTAAGGTGAATATATCAAGCTGGAAATAAGTACTACAAGGAGAAAGTCTTCTTTTAAATGATCACTCCTGAATTGGTACCCTAAACCTAGGTAACAAAATATACTATTGAAAAGAAACGTGACACATCCACATATACATGTCCAACATTTCATTAAAGAGAATATAAAGTCTAACTCCTGTTGTAAAGTATATTACATTACATATGAGTAAAATTTGTATACAATAATGCTGTAACACTTCATACATTAGTTAGCCATTCTGACCTTTACAGAGGTCACCTTGAGATCACCAGTCTGACCTCTTGTTAAGAAGGTCATTCATAGCACTTTGCATTTCAGGTATGAATGTCCCTGCATAGCACTCTCATACTCACTCCTCTTTATGATATCGCACAAACTCTTAAGCACCAGTATAACAAATCTGCACTCCACAATAATGTCTTATGATTGGTGCTCATATTGTAGTACAGGTTCGCATCAAATGGAAGAATCTATTTTGATTTACCTTACTTCACGTTATTTAGAAACTGACCAAAAGTTCATTACACTTAAGGAAGTTCATTGGCAAGTTCTACAAGGTGGCCCCCTAACTCAGGGAATCGGTCAGTCTATCCATCATACTGCTCAGCCAATGTCCATTGTACAAGGTGGTCCCCTAACTCAGGGAATTGGTCTGTCTATCCATCATACTGCACAGCCAATGTCCATTGTACAAGGTGGTCCCCTAACTCAGGGAATTGGTCTGTCTATCCATCATACTGCTCAGCCAATGCCCATTGTACAAGGTGATCCCAATACTCTGGGAATCAGTCAGTTTATCCATTAAACTGCTCAGTCAACTTTACCAGGTGGCCCCATAATGCAGGACATCAGTCAGTCTGTCCACCATACTGTTCCACCACTGTCAGCAATACAAGGTGGCCCCCTAACTCAGGACATCAGTTAGTCGATCCACCATACTGGCTAGTCACTCTGGTCACACATACATCTGACGAACACATCTGGTCCACCCACAATAAACACACCTTAACCTTTCTGTAAATAAAAAAGCAATGTTTTAGTCATTTCTGCAACAAAATATAATAGATCAACAGTTCTATTATACCTTACTAAACTACACAATTAAAACTTTAGTTCATCGTTTCATGTAACACACATGCATGTTGAATACTTTATTGAAAAATTCATTTTATGTACATATTGGATTTTAGTTAAAATTCAGTTCATGAAACACATATATACTGCATTTTCTTTAAAATCAGGTTCATGTAATTTATTGCATTTTATTAAAAATTTACTTCCTCTAATTTACTGGATTTTAGTTAAAACCAAGTTCATGTTATATATCAGATTTTAATCAAAATTAACTTCCTATATTGACTTTTTCATCAAAATTAGGTTAATGAAATTTACTGGATTTTATTAAAATCAAGTTATGTAATATATCAGATTTCAGTTAAAATTAAGTCAAAATTCAGTTTCTGTAATTAATTGGATTTTATAGTCATAGTTCGTAGAATATCCTGTTACATTTTGTTGAATAGATCTGTCATTGGGAATTTGTCGCTATACAAATCCGTTAAGTGTTATTTATGTAAATATGATTTGGAAATCATTTTTTATAAAAATTGTTATAATTGCAACAAATGTGAGAAATGTAACCAACCTTTCTTCACTTTCATAAACAGTTGATATTTCAGAATCACTGAAACAGAAAAATATAAACAATGGTAAAACATACAAAGATATGATCATTTATGTGTAGGAATCAGTCATTGGGGGGAAAATCTTTCTATTGTGTCAATGTGTCAGTAATTATAAAAACTATTTTACAACAATAATAAAATAAGCTGTCAGCTGATATAAAGCTGAGGTAAAACTCATGTGGCTGGGCAGTTAATCATATACCTTTTCACATCAAATTGAGAAATCAAACACTGGTCACAGGTGAAGGTAAATGCATTGCAGCTGCATCACACAACAACCTGCTAATCACTCTTAAGAGAGTCTGACGTAGACTTACATGTTTATAGTACTTACCAGATAAAAAAAAGCTACATAGTAGACATCGTCTCCTACAACACAAATAAAACCAGATGACACAAGATAACCTTCATCTCAAAATACAACTATTGAATTACCCAAGACGAAAATAGACATCAAGGAGATAACCCTGAGATCACTCTCTTGAACAACATGCTCACTGTCAAGCTAGACAAATAGAGGAGTGTCAGGGTTGGTATCCCAGGTGTTGGTGTAAGACAAGTGGAGGGACTTCATTCAGATATATTACAGCAATTCCCAAACAAGTACCATATGTAATGTAAGAAAGGCACCAGGTGTTGGTGTAAGACAAGTGGAGGGACTTCATTTAGATATATTACAGCAATTCTCAAACAACAACCATATGTAATGTAAGAAAGGCACCAGGTGTTGGTGTAAGACAAGTGGAGGGACTTCATTTAGATATATTACAGCAATTCTCAAACAACAACCATATGTAATGTAAGAAAGGCACCAGGTGTTGGTGTATGACAAGTGGAGGTCCTTCACTTAGATATATTACAGTAATTCCCAAACAACTACCATATGTAATGTAAGAAAGGCACCAGGTGTTGGTGTAAGACAAGTGGAGGGCCTTCATTTAGATATATTACAGTAATTCCCAAACAACTACCATTTAAGTAATACTCTACACAATGACCTGGTAATTATCGATTTAATATCATCGAATAAAAACATCAAAACTATTTATATTTGTATTTAGCAATGAATTTTCAAGAAAATCCTTAATAAAGTAAACTTACCTCTCTCTCCCATTCCCTCTCCTCATATATCTTATCAAAACAATCCTTCATATAAATATACTGAAAAGAGATAGAAAAATCAATGTCACACAATGATAAAATACTACATAATAAATTCAACAATTACAATTAACAATTTATTATGGCTTGTTTGCTCTTAACTGCCTCCCCCCCAACCAGCCCAACCTTAGATATACACCCCAGACTGTCTGATTACTGGCAAGACCTTAACGACACTCTGCCACAAAAGTCAAGGAAGGTTGTTACAGAAAACAGAAAACCCATACTAACAAATTCATTCAACAATCTGATTTTGTTCTTTGTAATAACAGTGACCTTGACCTTAGAACTTGGGATATAAGAAGCAATACCCCAAGCAAGCAGTTTTGGTAAGGAAGTGTTGTATGAAGTTTGGTTTAAGATTAGGCAAAACAAACTTAAGTCATCACACAGAAAATTATTTTCAGTTTAACTTATAGTTACAGTAACCTTTGACCTTTGGACCTAAATGGCAATCTATCATCAAAGCCAAAGCAAACTTGATTATCGCAGGGAAACTGATTTATCTTTTTCACAGAAAGAGTGACCTTAATCTTTAATCTTCAATACTATAAAGCAATCCCAAACAAACACTTTAAGTAAGGAAGTACTGTATGAAGTTTGGGCTAGATTGGTCAAAGCAAACTATGGTTTTTACCAGGAAACTGATTTTCTATTTATAGCAACAGTGACCTTGACCTTCCACCTTGGAAAATGAAAAGATACATAACCCAAGCAAGCACTTCCTTAAAGAAGGCTTGGCATAAAGTATGTTGGCCCATCAGAATTTGAGATACTGTACAGAAACCATTAAACACACAGACAGACACAGACAGACAGACGGAAGGACAGGCAGACAAGCTGATTACTATAGGGCACCCACATCTCAATGGGCTCTAACTAGTAATAACACAGATCTATAGCTTTCTACTTACATATGGTGTTAGTATTTGTACGACTCGTGATTTTTTTCCCGGTCTGTCATATTCAAAGCTGAAAGTCATGCCCTCATCTTCCATCTCATAACTCTTTACATCCTTCCATTGGAACTCTATCACCTGGGACTGAAAGTAAAAATCACTCTAGTGTTCAGCTTTACAGGAATCATATACATCATAAAATCGCATCTGTAAATTTCACAATAGAAATTAAATTCCTTTGTAGATTTAAAAAAAAAAAAGAAATTAAAATTTCCACAGGATCCAGTAGGAACTAAAGAGTGCTGCAAAAAAACTTACATGGGTACTAATTATGCATTAAGTTTCTGCAAAGATGGTAATTAGTGCTTCAGACAAATGCAAATATGTGAAAAAGAAAAGGGCAAGGTAAAGTAAAAATGATCTGTGAAAAGTTTGAATTAAACTTGTAGCAGTATAGACAAAATCATTACTGATGCATTTAAAGACAATAATGTTGTCATTACCTCTGGCGTTCCATCATTTTTACATGCCTGCAGTTTGAAACATTCACTTCCAATTATGCATATCACATGACCATCCTTGCGAGAGTCACAAGCACAGTGAGGGAAAGCCACCTCACCATATCCATCTAAATGTCTCACAGTCTTCAGGTACTGGGAAATAAAGAAAAGGTTGTGTGTTACAGAATCACCATCAAAATAACACAACATTACCTTCATACACTAGATAAAGGGGAAATAAGTGACATTACGACAAATGATGTTAAGATAAATCAGAAAGCTGTTGAACGATGTGAAAACTTTTACTCACTTCTATTCTTTTGCTGGAATCCTGTAGTGATTTTAACTCATATAATTTGTCTTCTGTTTTAATCTGTCCTCTGTTTACACTCTCCACAGCCTGTAAAACAAAAATATATTGTGAAATACTGAGACTGTCAGAGAGCAAATCTAGATTCCTCTGTGGAAATACTGACAAAGAAAAGATGGGTGATTTGAGAACAATCTTATACTCCCATGTTAGTACCATTCAGGCAAAAACAGATGGACCAACCACAAACCAATAGCCCCCATCCACAACATCGCTGAGGAACTCAGTGATGGGGACATAGACCACAGCTAAGGATCCCAGGTGGGTGGTATTGTCTCTACTCTTTGTGTTTCCCAGCAAAAAAAAAGTTTGAGATTCCAGACCATCCTATTTTCATGGTTATGTCTTTGGGTAAGATATTTTACCCAGAATGAGTGCAAACCTATTATCCAGTAAACTCAATAAGCAACTGATCAATATCTAGTATAACCACTGAGCTTAATTGTATTTACCTCCCAAAACAGAAAGTTGACAGCCAATTCATCTGAGTTGAGCATGGTTTCTCGTGTTAGAGTAAAGATCCACTTTCTCATTGTGATACAGGTGGCAGTGGCTGTGCTGTAATTCTGAATGTAGATATTATGGGGGAATTCTAGAGGTTGTAGCTTCCTCTCTGTAACAGAAATACACAAGATAAATAGCTAAAGCTATATAGGACATAGAAGTGAGCAGAGCAAAGTGACCTCTACAGGCTGGTGAAAATTATATAAGGGTTCAATTACTATGTATTGCATTTCATAGGGATTCAAAACAAGTGGCCTTTACAGACAGGTAATTGTTATTGACTTTTATACAGGTTTGACAGTCCATTTTTCAATTATCATAATACACATAACAGCACATATCTCAATAGGGTTCAAAGGTCAGACATGCCAAGTCCTTCTGAAGATCTCATTAAGAAAATGAGTTTATCTGTATGTGTCATTATCTTATTTTGCACTTGATGACCCTTCATTAGCACATGAGTAAAGCACTAGTAACATTCCTATGATTGATGTCAGAGATCAATGTGTATTCAGGTTGCAGTGACCTACTTTTGCCATACAAGTTTGCATCATGTACAGAAACAACATATTACAAGAGATATTAATGAAATCTTTATAATGAATTTCTGTTCTTGATTGAGGTAAAAGTTTAAAACATAGTGAAGAATAAACTGCTTTTAGTTTTTCAATTTCTGCTCCGATATATGCAAGATATAAATTAGAGGGTACTAAAAGGAAGTTTTGAGAAAAAACATAAACTGTTACATAAAAAGATGGAAAAAGCATATAATATATATGCATCAAGGATATATTAAGGTGAAGCTACTAAAATGTGGTTCCTCTGATGTGTGGTTCAGATAGGTTTTACTTACCAAAGTTATATTCTACAGTTTCAAACAGGTAAAAACACTGAGCAGCTGCTTCTGACATGTTTAGTTTCACTACGACAGCCTGTAAACAAGAGATTAATGACAAGCTGATGTTAAAATAGAGATTTAATCTGACCTTTCTTAACCCAGGAATTTTCTTTATCAATAGAGGCAAAATCTCTGTAACCAGTTACACTCTAAAAATAAAGCTCCAGAAAGCTGGATATAATCAAAATTTTAACAAAATTTTCTTTATGAAATCACTTCCTTCAATTGAATTTCAAAATTTACATCAAAAGAAAGACCTATTACAGAGTAAAATGGATAACGAAAGTTTCAACCTACTGACATTGTACAGATAATAATTCTACGATCTTAAGCTTTGTTATTTCAATAACAAGGAACTGAAAAAGAAAATTTGTTCTCATTAGTTATTTCGTTTTGTTTTTCTTACATTGAAAACATTTGATACATGAAGAATTTCTTACTCCAACATTTTACAATTTTACATGTTAAATTATTTATGTAATTCATTCAGAAAACTGTTCATGATTTTTATGACATCATCATACAGAAATTGATATCTATACAATGAATACGGGTTCTTCCTCACAACAGCTTTATGACACAAACCATAGCATGAAAATTTAACGCAGGTATAATGTACAGAAAAATGTAACGACTGATAGACAGGGTGAATGCTCGATACTTCAGGTTGTTTTACAGTCAAGGGGATGGGAAGCAGGTAAAGGCGGGTTTATAATGGGTATATAATGTTGTGTCTGATTGTACATACCTCATACACTTGGTCAGCGGTATCGTTACGGCGGATGGTGACTACACATACACTTCTGTCAGGCAATAATACCTTGAGTTCCACTTCTGAACTTGGTGTTTCCTATTAACACGGATAACTTTTCTTGTAAACAAGATCTCACAAATACATAATTTACTACTCTGTTGTATTGTCAATTACACATCAAAAATTCTAGTTCATTAGTTCTATTACAAGGAAAATGATAGACATCAAAAGGAATAATTATAACAGAAGTTTTCACAATTGTCAATTTTTAATTTGTCAGAACACATACTGCATCCATTTCTGGTGAAGCGAGGAATTCTTGCATAATGTCGCTCTCTCCTATCACACGTACAGCACAAACTGAAACATGAAGGACATCCATAAAAAATTATCAGTGATCTGTTCTGTACATATCATTTAAAAACATTTCCACCATATGAAAACATCAAATACCTTTGGAAAAAAATTAACTGTTAAAACTGTTTTATAATCAATGTGACTGCATTGTGCTGTAGCTCCATGACTTGTTCATTAGAGACAATATTCAACTTTTACATGAATGCTGTGGTTAAGTGATTTTCAACTGGTTCTTCATCAACACTGAACACTTTCTGAAAATCAACATTGTTTCAACACAATTTAAATTCCTAATGAACCTTATTTGAAATAGTAGTTTCATCTTTATATTTCCAATTTACATGTGTTACCTTTTTCTAAATATTGCTCAAGCCCACGCCGCCTAGCATCTAACTGTTGTTCTGAAAGCTGGAATAATTTTTTGCCTGGCATTTTAGGAAAGTTGAAGTCTGTAAACTCGCGTTTTATTCGTGTGTGTAGTGTATCAAATTCTCTGTATCTTCTTGAACACAAATGTCTACCAGCCATATAAATGTTGAACACCTGCAATAAGATATACAGAATGAAAGCTCAGTCATACTACAATGTAGGCCAGTTTGGCAGGTATAAGGTTGCATTACTATGTCCTTCAGTGTAAATATGTACAAGTGAAAGAACTATAAGTATAGATAACCAGACAACATCCCAGGAAAATCTTCACCAGGCTTTAATGTTGATTAATTTCAGCATACTAGTCATCTATACTTATTGTCTATATGTTACTAGTGCCACACTTGTGTATTCCTTAGGAAACCATCCAAGGAAGATTACTGAAAATTAATGAAACTGCCCACATGGATGTTGGATCTCATTTTCTTTTTAAGTTAAAGACCTGTTCCTCAAAACATGTGCATAGAAAAATATATGCAATAATGGAAGACCCAGTGAAATCTAAAGTGGCTAACTGCAGCCAACTTCATAATCCAATCAATATCTAAATGATGACCCAAAAAAACAGTGTAATAAATAGTGGTAATGAACTTTAAAAGTTTAATCCAAAATGGCTTCTGGTGGCCATCTTGAATACCCAATCAAATTCATACAATGGCATGCAAAGTCAAACATATACCATGTGCACAAAGTTTCTGGAATATCCCTTCTCTGTATTTGTTCAGAAATAAAGGTAACAATCGTGACGAGTGGAAAAACAAAATTGCAAGATGTGGCCATCTTGAATACAAGTAGCCAAACTCAAAATGTGGCACACACAACTACAATGTAGGACCTGTTCACCTTGATATAGTTTCTTCAAGATCTTGTCAGTAGTTCTTGAGAAAAATAGTCATCACCTCAAATGTCAAAATTCAAAATGGCCAGGAACAACGATACTGAATATCAGCTTGTGTTCTATGCATAACTAGAACCCAGAATGATCAGAATATTACAGCTGAAAGTTATCTGATAATAAATCTACCATTGTTATGTAACATTGAAGCACAAATAACAGAGGCAGTTAGAGTAGTATTATTGCATGTGATACACTATTCTACATGTATTGTGGCCAATAAAAGAAATTATAATGGTATGTTTTCACATTATAGCAAAAACATTGTAAATCTTATTTTTTACTTTGTTATTCTAATATGACTATTTACCATATTATTTGAGGTTTCATAAAGAAGTTCAAAGATGGCTACATAACAGGATTCAGACATGAGAAAGGAATGGAACATCAGCTTGTCAGCAATTATACGTTCTAATAATACAGTAATCTTCGCAAAGACATGGACCCTGACACAGCCTTGTCAAAGTTATCAAGGACAATCAGTAAACACAGGAAACCAATATCATAATCCAGGTTACACAGAGGCTTGATATCATGATAATACCATCATTACTGGTGAAAACAAAGTATGTACTGGCTACAGGATAACAGGTTTTAATGTCCCTACACAGCAAAGTGCACATTAAACAATCACAGCATAACAGCTTCAGAAAAATACTTGTCAAATATTTCAGAAAACACAATCATGAAAGTAGTTCATCCTGTCTCCCCCAGATTTGCTAAAGATGTCAACCATTATGCATTAAATCCCTTCCTTGGTACTTTATTGTTGAGTTACTCTCTAATCACTTGTGTCCACAGAACTGTCACATACACATATCAGCCTTAATTAAACATACCAAACTTTTCACAGAGATACTAGACTTTATCTATTTAACTCACTGCCTCAGTAAAAAAAAACCTCCATCAATGTAACTCTCACAGCCTTACAGAAACTAACCTTCATCAATGTAACTCTCACAGCATTACAGAAATCAACCTTCATCAATGTAACTCTCACAGCATTACAGAAATCAACCTTCATCAATGTAACTCTCACAGCATTACAGAAATCAACTTTCATCAATGTAACTCTCACAGCCTTACAGAAATCAACCTTCATCAATGTAACTCTCACAGCATTACAGAAATCAACCTTCATCAATGTAACTCTCACAGCATTACAGAAATCAACCTTCATCAATGTAACTCTCACAGCATTACAGAAATCAACCTTCATCAATGTAACTCTCACAGCATTACAGAAATCAACCTTCATCAATGTAATTCTCACAGCATTACAGAAATCAACCTTCATCAATGTAACTCTCAAAGCCTTACAGAAACCAACCAACATCAGCCTTTATCATTCAAAATCAAATGGCCTCAGAGATATCAATTTTTCAATCTTTAGATGACAAACTTTGACTTCCTCAGAAGATTGAAATTTCTTTTTAAAATAAGAATTATAGAAAACCTTAAATGTTTTGATTAAGCATTTATGGTCACAAGCTCTGTGGTTTGTATTATCACTACTATACACTACATAAATATGCACATTGTAATGGTCTCCTCTTGTCTCTGGGGCTTAGTTTACCATTTCATTTACTGGAAAGTGGATTACAACAGACAGACAGTAATTTTCATGTGTAAACCAAGAATGTCTTCCATGTTGTATTTCAGTCACCAAACAATTATAGCTGAGGATATGTCAGAGTAAACAAAAGCATACAAAGGGCAGTGTCACTGTAAATTTCTCTTTCAATTTCACTCAGATTTTGTTTTTGGACTTTTTCTTATTTCGTTTGATGATTTTTATTCTCAGTAACAAGAGAATCAATATAAACTAGCAGACATCAGTTCAATTTTCCCAGAGAGGCTTTTAAATTTTCACAATATCTTCTGACCTGCCCTTCCAAAAAACATATTTCAGTATTGATCAACAACATCAAGTTTCCTTGAAAATTTGCCTGGACTGGTAATATACACCAAACATATACAAATAGTCAAATCAATATCCCACAAGTGTCTACAGATCCTGGCCACCTGGAAATAATACATTTCCTTTCTAAGGAGGTCATGCAAAAATAAAAAGAATAAACCGAGCAGTGAATTACACTGGTACATTCTCCCCACCCCTCCTCTTTTTAACTTGTTAAGATGTTTGTGAAATATCTGGTACACAAAGTTTTTTATAAAAGAAATTATCCAGATGACCTTCAACCTGTAACCTTGACCCCTATTGTAAATTCACATGTAGACAGACCTTGATGGGGTGAAGCGATGGTTTGAACATAAAGCAAAAGTATGAAGGAGTTTGTAAGATATTTCTTGTACAGTTTTTTTCAGAATCTTTGACATCTACCTACAAAGTAAACCTTGGTGAGGTGACGCTATGTTGTGAATATGGTTTATATCTGAGAAATAGACAAGTTGTTACCTGTCTGAAGATACTTTCTTATTTTCTGTTTGGAAACCTGAATGTTAAATTTCTGTAATTGAATGAAATATTTGTTAGTTGCACGAAACAAATGAATCCTGATGGCTAGTAACCCAACAACATAATCAATCTAAATATCTGATACAAACTAACACCACTGCATGTAACAAGTGGAGACACAAACGGCAGTAAATTGTAGGGGCTGATTCTGGTCATGGCACGCATATTTCAGAAATTATTGGAGATAATAAAATTACTTGAAGCATGTAATCAAGTGTCTAAAAATAAAATTAATCTGCAAAAAATCTGCTGGTTCCATGTTAATCATAGAATAAGACTGATGCTATCATAAACTGGACATTTCCTTCAGAACAATTTAGCCTACAGGCAAGAGTCATCGAGACTTATCTAGATTTGTAAGACAGACTGACTCATCCAAATGCTTCACATACACTGTGTTGTTGTCCTGGTTCCAAAAAGTCCTCAATGCCCTGAACTTGGGCCTCATTTTGACACTTGTAAGGATGGCAGCTTGTGGCTATTCAGATAAGTATAAAAATAGACATACACATATTTAAGCTTTTCCTCTTCATTAACTGCAGCAGCTGAACCAGAAGTCAGACTGACACTTCAGTTACTTTGGTAATGATCAGACTGTTAATAGGAGCAGACTGAGGTTACTTTACTAAGTATTAGAACTTAATTGATGGTGCAAACTGATAAGAAGACAGTCAGCTCCAAGGTCCTTGATAATCACTTCGAGTTGAAAAAGTCTTGTTTTTTGACAAACCATCAATATTAGTATCTATACAAGGTCTGACAGTGTAAATCTAGATACTTTTGCTTTGCCTACAAAACTACATTGAAAATCAATCAATACAAAATAAAATTAATAAAACACGAGGCCTATACAACTGTGGTCCCCAGCCCTTTTTACACCAAAATAAATTTTTCTCAATACTGAAATCCAAAAAAATACACTTCCTGTGATGAACACCAAGGATTTTTGTTTACCGATATATCTTAAGTTTATTTCCTAATTACCATAACATCAAAAAACCATCTCCAAGTAACAATTTGACATGAAATTTCAAAAAAACCTTGAGCACAAGGAAATACAATAATTTTTCTTTCATGTAGTCACACATGATTGTAAACTAATTCTAATTCATACCCTTTAACCCCAAAACACAAAGCCCCTATCCCTGATCATAAACCTGTGACCTTGACCCTAACTCCTTTCCTTGACCCATAGCTCTAAATTTCAAATGAAGGATTCAAATTTTTGTTACAAAAATGACTTTATCCTTAAAAAGATTGCATTGCTATATCGCTTATCTAGTCTGAGGTTAATAACAATATCACCATAAAACAATGAATCACATGGTTAATATGAATTCTGACACCTAAACATTGAATAAGGAGACGTGATCATAAAACAATGAATCACATGGTCAATATGAATTCTGACACCTAAACATTGAATAAGGAGACGTGATCATAAAACAATGAATCACATGGTCAATATGAATTCTGACACCTAAACATTGAATAAGGAGACGTGATCATAAAACAATGAATCACTTGGTCAATATGATTACCATTAATCAACGTGAAGTCATTGTTATTAATCAAATTGGGACAAAGTAAATTACAAAATATTGATTGGCGGGATTTAGGATGGAAATTGGAAGGTTGGCTAATATTTCTGAAACCTGCACTAAGAAGCATTATATTTTAACTACTATCAAGCCTACCAGCTCTTCGCCCATAAAAGAATTAAAAAATTCTGGTAAATAT